GTGCGTAGAATTCAAAACGATTCGTACTTTTTCGATTCGACTTCTCAAAAAAAAGTTATAGACTAGAAACCAATTTCGAAACAAAATTCAAAGGGCTGTAACTTTTGATCTAGTAGCCCAATCTTGGAACTGATTGAAATTATCGATTCTACAGGCCACATTCTATAAGAAAATGTTTTTTCCCGGTCGATCCGAGACAATTTTTTTTCAAGTCAAAAAAAAGGCAGTGTTTAGCCTTCCTTTTTTACCAAAAATCAACTGCACCAAAATTTCTCGGGAAAACACTTTTTCTTATTAATTTTGGTGCGTAGAATTCAAAACGATTAGTACTTTTTCGATTAGACTTCTCAAAAAAAAGTTATAGACTAGAAACCAATTTCGAAACAAAATTCAAAGGGCTGTAACTTTTGATCTAGTAGCCCAATCTTGGAACTGTTTGAAATTATGGATTCTACAGGCTACGTTCTATAAGAAAATTTTTTTTCCGGGTCGATCTGAGACAATTTTTTTCAAGCCAAAAAAAAGGCTTCCTTTTTTACCAAAAATCAATTGCACCAAAATTTCTCGGGAAAACACTTTTTCTTATTAATTTTGGTGCGTAGAATTCAAAACGATTAGTACTTTTTCGATTAGACCTCTCAATCAAAAGTTATGGACTAGAAACCAATTTCGAAACAAAATTCAAAGGGCTGTAACTTTTGATCTAGTAGCCCAATCTTGGAACTGATTGAAATTATCGATTCTACAGGCCACATTCTATAAGAAAATGTTTTTTCCCGGTCGATCCGAGACAATTTTTTTTTCAAGTCAAAAAAAAGGCAGTGTTTAGCCTTCCTTTTTTACCAAAAATCAACTGCACCAAAATTTCTCGGGAAAACACTTTTTCTTATTAATTTTGGTGCGTAGAATTCAAAACGATTCGTACTTTTTCGATTCGACTTCTCAAAAAAAAGTTATAGACTAGAAACCAATTTCGAAACAAAATTCAAAGGGCTGTAACTTTTGATCTAGTAGCCCAATCTTGGAACTGATTGAAATTATCGATTCTACAGGCCACATTCTATAAGAAAATGTTTTTTCCCGGTCGATCCGGAACAATTTTTTTTTCAAGTCAAAAAAAAGGCAGTGTTTAGCCTTCCTTTTTTACCAAAAATCAACTGCACCAAAATTTCTCGGGAAAACACTTTTTCTTATTAATTTTGGTGCGTAGAATTCAAAACGATTCGTACTTTTTCGATTAGACTTCTCAAAAAAAAGTTATAGACTAGAAACCAATTTCGAAACAAAATTCAAAGGGCTGTAACTTGTGAACTAGTAGCCCAATCTTGGAACTGATTGAAATTATCGATTCTACAGGCCACATTCTATAAGAATGCCCGTTAAGGAAAATTGAGAGGGACGTGGCCGCCGTGGCTATTAATTGAATAAACTGAAATGTTCTTTAGAAGATAATTACGTACGTGGCGGCATCTCATTGGAACTTGTTTAACTATTACAAGAAAATAATTTGGAAAAGTGTAGCGATTATCAAAGAGATGGCGCACGTGTACCAATTGCTAACACAAAAGACACTTCCAAATACCGGATAATTGAACTACAATTGCTCTGCAGATCCTACAAGAGATTGCACATTTTCAACTGCCTTTTAAGGAAAATTGAGTGGGACGTGGCCGCCGTGGCTATTAATTGAATAAACTGAAATGTTCTTTAGAAGGTAATTACGTACGTGGCGGCATCTCATTGGAACTTGTTCAACTATTACAAGAATTTAATTTGGAAAAGTGTAGCGATTATCAAAGAGATGGCGCACGTGTACCAATTGCATACGCAAAAGACACTTCCAATTACTGGATAATTGAACTACAATTGCTCTGCAGATCCTACAAGAGATTGCACATTTTCAACTGCCCTTTAAGGAAAATTGAGTGGGACGTGGCCGCCGTGGCTATTAATTGAATAAACTGAAATGTTCTTTAGAAGGTAATTACGTACGTGGCGGCATCTCATTGGAACTTGTTCAACTATTACAAGAATTTAATTTGGAAAAGTGTAGCGATTATCAAAGAGATGGCGCACGTGTACCAATTGCTAACACAAAAGACACTTCCAAATACTGGATAATTGAACTACAATTGCTCTGCAGATCCTACAAGAGATTGCACATTTTCAACTGCCTTTTAAGGAAAATTGAGTGGGACGTGGCCGCCGTGGCTATTAATTGAATAAATTGAAATGTTCTTTAGAAGATAATTACGTACGTGGCGGCATCTCATTGGAACTTGTTCAACTATTACAAGAATTTAATTTGGAGAAGTGTAGCGATTATCAAAGAGATGGCGCACGTGTACCAATTGCTTACACAAAAGACACTTCCAAATCTTGGATAATTGAACTACAATTGCTCTGCAGATCCTACAAGAGATTGCACATTTTCAACTGCCCTTTAAGGAAAATTGAGTGGGACGTGGCCGCCGTGGCTATTAATTGAATAAATTGAAATATTCTTTAGAAGATAATTACGTACGTGGCGGCATCTCATTGGAACTTGTTTAACTATTACAAGAAAATAATTTGGAAAAGTGAAGCGATTATCAAAGAGATGGCGCACGTGTACCAATTGCATACTCAAAAGACACTTCCAAATATTGGATAATTGAACTACAATTGCTCTGCAGATCCTACAAGAGATTGCACATTTTCTACTGCCCTTTAAGGAAAATTGAGTGGGACGTGGCCGCCGTGGCAATTAATTGAATAAATTGAAATATTCTTTAGAAGATAATTACGTACGTGGCGGCATCTCATTGGAACTTGTTCAACTATTACAAGAATTTAAATTGGAAAAGTGTAGCGATTATCGAAGAGATGGCGCACGTGTACCAAATGCTTACACAAAAGACACTTCCAAATATTGGATAATTGAACTACAATTGCTCTGCAGATCCTACAAGAGATTGCACATTTTCAACTACCTTTTAAGGAAAATTGAGTGGGACGTGGCCGCCGTGGCAATTAATTGAATAAACTCAAATGTTCTTTAGAAGGTAATTACGTACGTGGCGGCATCTCATTGGAACTTGTTCAACTATTACAAGAATTTAATTTGGAAAAGTGTAGCGATTATCAAAGAGATGGCGCACGTGTACCAATTGCTAACACAAAAGACACTTCCAAATACTGGATAATTGAACTACAATTGCTCTGCAGATCCTACAAGAGATTGCACATTTTCAACTGCCTTTTAAGGAAAATTGAGTGGGACGTGGCCGCCGTGGCTATTAATTGAATAAACTCAAATGTTCTTTAGAAGGTAATTACGTACGTGGCGGCATCTCATTGGAACTTGTTCAACTATTACAAGAAAATAATTTGGAAAAGTGTAGCGATTATCAAAGAGATGGCGCACGTGTACCAATTGAATACGCAAAAGACACTTCCAATTACTGGATAATTGAACTACAATTGCTCTGCAGATCCTACAAGAGATTGCACATTTTCAACTGCCCTTTAAGGAAAATTGAGTGGGACGTGGCCCGCCGTGGCTATTAATTGAATAAATTGAAATATTCTTTAGAAGATAATTACGTACGTGGCGGCATCTCATTGGAATTTGTTTAACTATTACAAGAAAATAATTTGGAAAAGTGTAGCGATTATCAAAGAGATGGCGCACGTGTACCAATTGCATACGCAAAAGACACTTCCAATTACTGGATAATTGAACTACAATTGCTCTGCAGATCCTACAAGAGATTGCACATTTTCAACTGCCCTTTAAGGAAAATTGAGTGGGACGTGGCCGCCGTGGCTATTAATTGAATAAACTGAAATGTTCTTTAGAAGGTAATTACGTACGTGGCGGCATCTCATTGGAACTTGTTTATCTATTACAAGAAAATAATTTGGAAAAGTGTAGCGATTATCAAAGAGATGGCGCACGTGTACCAATTGCATACACAAAAGACACTTCCAAATATTGGATAATTGAACTACAATTGCTCTGCAGATCCTACAAGAGATTGCACATTTTCTACTGCCCTTTAAGGAAAATTGAGTGGGACGTGGCCGCCGTGGCAATTAATTGAATAAACTCAAATGTTCTTTAGAAGGTAATTACGTACGTGGCGGCATCTCATTGGAACTTGTTCAACTATTACAAGAATTTAATTTGGAAAAGTGAAGCGATTATCAAAGAGATGGCGCACGTGTACCAATTGCATACACAAAAGACACTTCCAATTACTGGATAATTGAACTACAATTGCTCTGCAGATCCTACAAGAGATTGCACATTTTCAACTGCTTTAAGGAAAATTGACAGGGATTCGTACTTTTTCGATTAGTTTTCAAAAAAAAGTTTTGAAGTGCAATTGCTCTACGGTTCTTATAAGAGTTTGCACATTTTGCAGTATGTCCTTTTAGAAGCAATTTAAACAAATGCTATTTTACTTAACAAAACAATGTATGTAATTAAAACTTCTGGTTATCCTTACAATAAACAATTTACACTATTTTTACTAATACAAAAAGAAATGAGAATGGCAACAATATTGCTATAATCATGACAAATTTGGATCACATCCGTTCTTAAAGACAGCATACCCGTGATCGACAAGCTCCTTTGCAATATCAACATCCGTATCATTGTTAAAATCGTATAAGTCAATCCCAGGCACAGGCGAACTCTCCCTTTTAGCAGTCAACTTCTCTCTATTCCAGTAACAATTAATTTTCGCCAGCAACTTCTTCCACTGGGCCACGTGAGCCAACTCCTCAAACTTATCCAGCGCTTCATCCGACCACTTGCCATCTTTCGGCTCTAAATTACAACGCTATAGTACAATTCACTCACCCTTAAAACTTACCGATTTGTGCCAAGAAGCACTCGATCGCCTGAAAGTGCAATCTCAAAAAGTCAGTTCGTAATTCGAAAGCTTCCTTGGACGGAATCACGTCGGTGTCCCCATAATCGACGTAATACAGCTCGACATGCGAATCGCCGCCGTTATCCATTACTTTTAAGACTTCTGCGCGGTACCTGCACAAATTACTCACGGTGAAAAGTACGCAAAGTCGAATAACCCACCATTTTTTGTCAAACTTAAATACAGCCGCGACCACATCGCCGACCTCCAACGAGTTAAGAACGTGCAAGTCTCTGTTCTCGTCCTTTGCGTAATACTCGGTCATCTCCTCGACCAGCTGATCCAACTCGGTCGCCTTCGGTCCGACAATTTGCATCCAAAAGTGAGACGGGTCCAGCATCGCCGAGATGTACACTTCGAATTGTGCACCGGTTTGTCCTAAAATTTCGCGTGAAAATTACGCACCAGCGATGATTCGTGTGACATACCGGGATAGGGGGACATTCTTTCCACTTTCGGACTACCGTTCAACATGGTTGGCGAGTCCAAGGCGTCCCCCTTAGTACCATTTACAGTAGGCGATTTTGGCGGTGCTCGAGGTTCTCGTTTCGCCAGAGTCGAGTCTAGCTCGTTCTGTGATAGTTGGTACGTTTTAATGATGTTAGTAATTAAGAGTTTAGCACAATTTATTTGCTCCTCGGTGCCTGAAATGCCAAATATATTGTGTTGACCAGATTTAGTTGGCGACTTCACCTTTCAACAGAACTTTTCGGTGTGCTGCGGCTTTGTCATTGCAAACGGTCACCTTCGCACCGGACCGTGTCGTGATTTCCATTATGTTTTCTCCGCACCTTCCGATTATTTTGCCAACCACATTTTGGGGCACGATCATTTCGTCGCTTTTCAATACCGGTTGGGCACCAATAAATTCCAATATTAAACTTTTCGCGTGAATGCACGCGTCCCGATTACCTCGAATCACGCACGTGCGTTGCTCGTCGTTGTCGTCGTCTTTAAACGAAATTCTCGTATGAGACTCCTCCTGGAGGGCCTTAATGTTTTTGCCATTGCGTCCGATGAATGATCGTACGTGTTCCTTCGGGATAGAGACCTCCAATGTTTTGTAGTTGGATCTTTTTTGGGTTGCTTTATATTCGTCGTCTTTTTTTAAAAGAAGATACAATAAGTAACCACCTATGCCACAGACCGAGAGCCCTAAGGCTATAGTCACCGATTTTGAAGGTAAAATATGCCTAAAAACAGAATAAATGAGACGTCCAAACCATCATTGACACTTAAACTTAAGTGAGGTTATGTCCCCTTCAAGGGTTTTTATTCACGTAACTTACTTCATTGCAGTGCAAGTTCCTAGAAATTGGGACAAATCAATAGTTGTAACATGTTTCTAAACTAAACGCAAATTTCAATACAAAACATCCCAAATAATTAGAATTAGAACAAATTTTTGGTGTTCGTATTGGGCCTTCTTAAAATAAAAATTAATTCCTTTGAAGATAGCAACAAAACAGTTATTAGTTTGGCAGCGTTCAATCGTGTTTATACCCAGCCGCTGTATACCGGGTGAATAGTCCAAAACCGAACATGACAATTAACATCGGGAAACAGTTTTTGCAGACGGTTGCTCCCCATGTTAACTTAGAGGGTTTGTAGTGGCACCAATGGAAAGAAGATTTTTTTAAATCTATCGCCATTTTCCAGTTGTATTTCTCATAATTTTTTCCTCTATCAAATGCATTTTACAAAAAAATTGATTCTGCTTTTTGCCTTATTAGTCATGGCTTAACATGATTTTGATAATTGGATTTATTACCGATTTTTTAATAAAATAATGAGATATGCAACTGAAAAATGACTAATTTGTATATCATTAGATGAAAAAATCGTCTTTCTGGTTCTGGTGGCGTTATCATACAGGGAGTTTTTTAAAGATGGGCCATAGAATTAAGTATGTACACACCTAGCATAACGCAATGTAAAGGCGTTGAGCTATTTAAAATGGGCCATAGGGAAATTTACATTGCGCAAATTGTTCTGGCCTTATGCGCTTAGTTATTTCACTGACAGTTCTCGATCTCTCAATCCTTCAAATCGCATCAACGAATCAGCAACATGTATTCCGCCGCTCGAAAAGGTGTTAATGTAGTACAATGAGCACAGTAGCTGAGTGGTAATGCGAGCTATTCAGTGCCGAGTATCGGTTATTGTTTAGTTGCCGGTGGAAAACAATTAGAGCACCGTTTGTAATCCTATACGTTTATATCTGATTTGAATAAATTAGTTGATTTAGAAACAATTTGTACAGTACTGTGGCAGATGATTCGCGAGGAAACAATTGATGCAATGTAAATTTCCCTATGACCCATTTTAAATAACTCAACGCCTTTACATTGTCGTATTAAATACAAGCAAAACATAAAAAAGCTTCGCTTACCTTAATATAAATTAGATGTCATCCAGAGAAATGAGCTCAGTTCCCGGATCAATAAACCTGCAAACAAAGGACAACTCCCAAGCCGCAGAGCTCGGAATGCAATGAACTGAACAATGCCCGAAGAGCCTCGCCTTACTTGTATTAAGCTTCTAGGGAAGTTGCGGGCTACCATAACATTCGTGTGTAAAGTCGACCATAATTTAACAAAGTTCGCGAAGATAATAAATAGGTACCTAATGAAGGTAATAAATTAATTGAACGCAATAGCTTATAACCCTGAAGAGGCGTTAAACTGATAACAATTAAAATAGACGAACTTGAAATTAAAACCCTAAAAAAAATCAAAGGTAACCCTCTCTTCGTTCATAACCTTAAAAAGTACCTATCTACCTCTTTAAATAAGAGGGCTAGTTGTAGATGAATGTGCAACAACCTAAAGAAAGAAGGTACACATCAAGTAAATGCAAATGGCGCACTTACAAAGAAGAAGCGTTTTCTTCACTCGGTTATTTTTCAACGAAGTATCACCAGCTACGGTTCTCGACAGAAAGAGGAAAATGAATGTGTGCAATTGATAACGACTAATCGCAGCGCCGCAAAAATTGCGTGTTTAAAATTCCAAGGTTACGACTGTTACGAGGATCTTTCAATAAAATATACCGTCAACTTAATTAAGAAAATAAACCGGTACACAATGTAGGTAGGCCAAAACATAAGGAAGGCCTTTTGATGAACCAAATTGCATGAAATTCAAAATGAGCATAGCTTTAGTCATATAATATACAATGCCAAGCTATAGCCAGAGCTCGTTTGCTTATTTGTTTACACATTTATTCAAACCTGTAATTGCCCAGTGCTAGTAGCGATAGCATATTATTTATAAAAGACTGTTGGAGAAGGAAAAGCGGCAAAAGAAAAAAACTAGAATGTAGGCCACAGAGTATGGGTAAAAAGGGCTGCGCAGCTTCAGCAAATTGAAGGAATCGGCCATTTTTCAGTTTTTCTCTCTGGAGAAAAAACAAAAGACGGTAGCTTATTTCTAGCAACGGTAAGGGAATAAGCATGAAACAAGTAAAAAGGTTTTCGCCCTAAGGCGAGTAACTTCAGCGCATTTTCCATAAATTGATCAACACTTCTCCAAAGGCCATACCTGTGTGCGCTATGTTTTTCATTACTAGAGGCATATATGGTTAAAATTTCAAAGAAATATCTCCATAAATAAGAAAGTTGGCATTGCGCAGTCTGCGCATGCGCACATCTGATTTTTACTATATGCGATATATATGCCTTAAAATTTCAACAAAATATATTAATAAATAAAAAAGTTAACATTGCACAGCCTGCGCATGCGCAGTTCAATCGTCAAGATTTTCCTTGACTCAGGTGCCAGAGCGATACGCTACCGAATGCAAAAAGAACGATCTAAATATCTTGAAAACTGTAGGAGTAGTTAAGGCCTCGAACAGACGGACGGACAGAGAAAGTGGCTGGAATAGCGCACCCAACTTCGTTGGACATGATACATGATAAAAAGTCTTCTGAAAGACGCCTAATTTTATGCAACCAAAATAACTTCTTGAAACAAATAAAGATCTGGCTGTCATATTAATTATTAATTTGAATATTGTTGCTTTAGCTTCACAGAAAATAAATCTCTTAAGCTCCTTTAACTGTTATCCGCACTTATACCAATTAGAAATAAAAATAATAATAATAATCTTTCTTTATGAATACATCGCACACTAACGAAAATTAGAATACGGAACGCAGGGCCGGCTCGTCGAAAAGAAACGGGTGAGGCAAGCGCTAACTTTGCCGCCCGAATGAAAAGGTTTTTTGTTGTTGATTGGTTCTTTAATATGAGTATAAGTACCACCAAACAACGAGAAAATTAAATAAAATCGAAGAAATCAGAAAATGACGTTTACATAAGCATACAAAAAAACGGAAATTCAAACAAAAATACCAAAACAGTGTAATAATACCTATATTTATATAGGAACTCTTCTTAACTCATTTGCAAAATTGTTAACAACATCATCGAAGAAGTCTATGTTAGAACTTAGTTCATGTTCAATGGCGAGAATGGCCAGATCCGTTAATCTGTCCTGTCATTGTTGAACATAAATAATTTTTGATTATTTTTTTGAGAAAGAACGTTCTCCACGGGCCACAGTGACTAGAATAGTTAGAGATACTACTATATTTGGAAAGTTATCACTCAAACCGTATAGCTCTATGTATATAGTTCAGTTCAGTATTTCTAAAGGTTTTTTTACCTTTGTGGCTTTGCACGATTCCTTCACTTCCCGTCTATAACGATTAAGCAGTAATAACTGAAGCAGTGACATTGGTGTATTGTATCACCGCCGGCGCTAGATTATTCGTTGTGTATCAAGTACGATAAAGTTTATTTAAAAAAACCATGCTATCCTATTACATATATCGCAAATTAGTGACCTGGCAGAGATGGCTATATTTTATAATCGCTTTCAGTCAATTGACATTACAAAGATTTATTATTATACTACATTATTATAATAAAACATTTTTTTTATTTTTAAATTTCAAAAATACCGACCCTAAGATTATGGCGTCTGAGGCGGCCGCCTCGCCGCCTCACCCCACGAGCCGGCCCTGTACGGAAGCGATAATATTCAAATTAATTAATTTGACAGTCAGATCTTCATTTGTTGTAAGTAGTTACTTTGGTTGCATAAATTTAGGCGTCTTTTGGAAGACTTATCATGTAAAAGTAGACATAGGAAATTCCTATAGGAAATCCCTATGTCTACTTCTACATGAATATCACTGTGTAGCAATCTGTCAATCTGTGATATAGGCAATTAATATTATCTGAAATGGGCAAATTAAGTTAAATGTTCCCTGACTTACTTACACTTTCCCTGACATTTCCAGGTTTTCCCGGTTTTCCAGATCGCTCTAAATCCTGCTTAGTTCCCTAAAATCCTGTTAAGAGCTAAAAGCATCAAGAACATTCCAGAAGACTTTTGAGGTTCGGTGAAGACTCTTGAAACATCTTGTACGCTTTTAAAGGCCAGAAGGAGGCAATCTCCGAAGGCTCTGGATTGAAGGCTTTTGAATCTTTTTAAAGACTGTAGCAAAGCCTTGAACAAACTTAAAGGGTTAGTCTACTTAGAGGCTTTGGATACCCTTGAAAACTTGTTGTACTAAAATCTTTAAACTAAATAATTCATTTATGTTTGATCTAAGGTAGTAGTTTGTTGCTATATAAATAATTTAGAGTTTTGTCGTTAGAAACCGATACAATAAAAAACGTTGTTCATATTGATGTTTAATAGCAGTTCTTATTCAATTTAATACCATCAACATGGTAGCAGAGCGTGGTTCTTTCTAAATATTCGTTGGTACGTCATTCAAAGGAAATCTTGGTTGCTAGCGTGGAATAGATAGCGCAGTGGATCGATAAAATCGGAATCAATTTTTTTTTTTGACAAGAGACGACACGAAAAATGGAAATTCAAGGAATAGAAAAACTACGGGGTATTGAAAATTGGAGTATTTGGAAATTTGCTATAAGAAATTTATTACGAGGAAAAGTGGACGCGTATGAAGTTTGCATTGGGGAAATACTGAAGCCAGTGCAATTAGCTATTGAAGATAAGGACTTTAATCAGGCAGAATACGATGCAAAATTCAAGGCTTGGGACAGGGGAGATCGTGCAGCAAGTCAGATAATTATTAAATCTCTAGAATCAAAGGTTATGGCGTTGTTGGTTTCATGTGAAACGGCACGGGAAATTTGGCTCAAATTGCATTCTATTTTTGAGCAACGAACCAAACAAGCTGCGCATACTGTTCAAACTGAATTTTTCAATTTTAGTAAAAATCCTGCTGATAATATGGTGACTCACATTGCTCGTTATGAGGAGCTGGTTCTGCGCATGCAGCAGCTGAATGTGAAACCGGACGAGTCTTCACTCGTAGTAAAGATGCTCGATTCTCTCTCAGATGACTACGAGGGCCTTCAACAAGCTTGGTGGGCGAGATCTGAACAACAGCAAACATTTGCGAATTTGGTTGAAGTGTTGACATCGGAAGAAAAACGTCGGCAGCAGAAAACAGGAAAACAGGAAGAGTTAGTCGCACTTTTTTCTAGTAAGGCCTACATAAAAAAGAAATATGCCAATAATGGTGGCAATAATTTTAATAAAATTAAATGCTACCGGTGCGGACGTGTGGGGCATATCCGGAAAAATTGCAAAAAGGGAAAAGAAGACAGTGAAGAAAAATCGAAAGACGAGGCTGAGGCTCTCAGCGCGGAAGATGGCGATGTTTGGATTGTTGATTCCGGAGCTACAGATCACATAACTCGTCATCGTGAGTGGTTTTTGTCTTATGAGCAGTTTGCAGTTCCCTTAAAAATTTATGTCGGCGACAAATCAACAATGGACGCTCTCGGAAAAGGAAGTATAAAATTTCAGGCTTATGTCGACAGAAAGAAAATAGAATGTCACATGGAAAATGTTCTTTTTGTGCCAGGGGCACGAAGAAATCTTTTTTCGGTCACGGCTGCGTTGGACAAGGGCATGAAGTTCAGATCTTCCAGCGAAAGATGTGAATTCACTCGGGATGGAGTTGTAAAAGCATACGGAGTTCGAATGGGTCAATTATTCAGGATGGTGATTCAAATAACATTTCCGAAAGATTATGTAAATGAGGCCAATCTAACGACGAAAATTACACTTCAAAATTGGCATGAAAAATTTGGACATCAGAACAAACAACATGTCAAGAAAATTTTGAAAAACCAGAAAATCGACTTCATCGAGGACGAAACATTTTGCGGAGCTTGCGTGGAAGGAAAACAACACCGGAGTACTTTTGAATCACGAAATCAGCGTGCTACGACGACTGGAACAGTTCTACATGTTGATTTGTGCGGACCAATGGAATGCACTTCGTTGGGTGGTGCTAAATATTTTGCGTGTTTTACTTGTGATTATTCAAGAATGCGATTTGTTTATTTCCTCAAGGAAAAATCAGAAACTGCTGGAAAAATTGTAGAGGTGTTACAAATCATAAAAACTCAACTTGGTAGATCGATGAAAACCCTGCAGTGTGATGGAGGAAAAGAATTCGACAACAGCGAGGTTCGAAAAATATTGAAGTTGGACGGGGTGAATTTGGCGGTGTCAAATCCTTATACGCATGAACAAAATGGATGCGCTGAACGAACAAACAGAATGGTGGTTGATTTGGCTCGAACAATGCTTTTGGCTAAAAAATTGCCAAAATATTTGTGGGCGGAAGCGGTCAATACTGCTGTTTACATTTTGAATCGCAGTGGACCAAGCGGAGTTGAAAACAAATCTCCTTACGAACTTTTCACGGGGAAGAAGGTGAATTTAAATCGTTTCTATGTTTTTGGCACAGATTGTTTCGTGCACGTACCGAAAGAAAAGAGAAATAAATGGGACCCAAAAGGCAAACGAGGAATTTTTGTCGGATATTCTGACAATATTGACGGTTTTCGTATTTGGTATAAATCGGAAAATCGCATCGTTCGCAGTAAATGCGTTGTTTTTGAACCAGAACAGTCTGAAAAATTATTGGCATTATTTCCGGAGAAGACAAGAAGCGCAGATAGTCAAGGTCCCGAAACATTTCCAGGAGAAGATTTCATCGATCAAGGGAATTTGCAAGATCATGAAGAAGATTTTGTCGATCAAGAGACGAGCACACCAACTCAAGAAAAGGAATTGGAGTGTAAAGCATCGGAAGAAATCTTGGAAAAACGACATCTCAGAAATCGGAACGATCTCAAAGCACCAAACAGGTTGTTATATGCAATGCTTTCGGAAGTTGTTGAACCAAAAAGTTATAACGAGGCCATAAAATCGGCAGAAAAGCAGAATTGGGTGACCGCCATGAACGAAGAAATGGCATCATTGAAAGAAAATTCGACGTGGAAAATTGTTGAACTGCCGGAAAAGCGAAAAACTATTTCTAATCGCTGGGTATATCGTGTGAAACGGGATTCTTACGGGAATGTTTCGCGGTTTAAGGCACGTTTAGTTGTCAGAGGATTTAGTCAGCGAGAAGGTATTGATTATAATGAGACATTTAGTCCTGTGGCACGACTTGATTCAATTCGGATAGTTTTGAGTATTGCAGCGAGAGAAAAATTGAAGATTGCTCAATTTGACGTCAAGACTGCATTTTTATATGGAAAAATTGATGAAGAAATTTACATGGATCAACCTGAAGGTTATGAAGATGGAAGTCAGCGTGTTTGTAAATTGCAGAGGAGTCTTTATGGTTTAAAACAATCCCCAAGATGCTGGAACGAACGGTTCAAGGAGGTTTTAATTTCATTTGGTTTACAGGAGAGTACAGCTGACTCATGTTTATTTTACCGTATTTCCAAAAATGAAAAACTGATAGTCGTTATTTATGTGGACGATGGATTGGTTGTTGCCACAACAAAAGAATCTATTAATAAATTCATTGGAAAACTCGAAGAAGAATTCAAAATGACAGCGGAGCCAGTCGGATGTTTTCTCAATATTCAAATTAATCAACATAACGATGGAACAATTTTCATTAATGAAAAACGGTACGTTGATGACATAATTGAAAAATTTAAAATGACAGAAGCAAATTCAGTTAGTACGCCAATTGAAAGATGTCAATTAACAGGGGAAGAAATGAAATTTGAATTGACGAAAGCCCCTTATCGAGAAGCAGTAGGGTGCTTAATGTATTTAGCAGTATCTACTCGTCCTGATATCACGTTTGCTGTAAATTATGTTTCACAGTTTCTGGAAGAACCAAGGGAACAGCACTGGACAATGGTAAAAAGGATCATTAAATACTTGAAGGGCACAGCTGAAATGGGAATTTATTACAAAGAAGTTGACACTCAAGTTAACGAATTAGAGTCATACAGCGACGCAGATTTTGCAAGTGACCCTCATACAAGACGGTCTGTCAGCGGTCTGGTTTTTAAATTTTGTGGAGGTGCTATCGTCTGGGCAAGCAGGAAGCAGAAAAGTGTTTCCTTATCTACCACAGAGGCAGAATATGTGGCTGCCAGCGAAGCAGCTAAAGACATTGTATGGTTAAATCGTCTTTTTGGGGAAATTGCACCATTAGAAAAAGTACCAACGCTTCGTGTAGATAGCATAAGCGCGATAAAACTCGCTCGAAACCCAAGTTTCCACAAGAGATCGAAACATATTGATGTGCGGGCGCATTTTGTACGGGAACGAGTTCAAAATAAGGAGATGAACATAGTGCATGTTGCAAGTGAAGATCAAGTTGCGGATATTTTAACTAAGCTAATTCCAAAAATTCAATTTCAACATCTTAGAGAAAAATTGGGGATGTTTTCATTGTAACATAAATGAAAGTTTAAAGTTTGAGGGGAAGTGTTGTACTAAAATCTTTAAACTAAATAATTCATTTATGTTTGATCTAAGGTAGTAGTTTGTTGCTATATAAATAATTTAGAGTTTTGTCGTTAGAAACCGATACAATAAAAAACGTTGTTCATATTGATGTTTAATAGCAGTTCTTATTCAATTTAATACCATCAACAAAACTATTGGTAGCTCCTGAAAGATGGCGAAACACTATTAAATGTCCATAACCTTTCTCATATACAAAAATGCCCAGATTGCTTGATTTCCTAGGTGGAAATTTTGCTCTACAAACGCTGCTAATTATTGTCCCTCTTGTTCTGGGCTCTCAACAGGCATTCGCCCAATTACAGAATGAGCCACATAATGCTTTTTACAGGTGCAGAAGGTCTAATGAAACGAGGTGAGAAGCTAGGAAAACATATACGTGTAAATTGCCAAGGTTTTCTATTATTCACTTGGTAATTGTGGAATTTATGAGAATTAGCATGGAGAACCTTGAGGGTAATGTGTTGTGTTCTGGTGTTCTTTTGCAGTTTTCCCACGTCATTTGATCGGGGAACGCTCACGCGAACGCTGTGTGTGAGAGAAGGACCTATGAAGTGGATGAAACGGACAGGCATCCAACAACTCATCCGCGCGCCTTGTAAAGCGTCTTGCCTACACATCCGGCGCTTACAGTGGTACTCACGCGCATTTCACATTTTCCCAAAAGTGCGTGCTCTCGATCGATACAGAGTGAGAGTGAGATGTATTCAGAAGGTGACCTTACGACCTAATCACACGTTGAAAGACTTGTGCAATTCGCGCTTTTTTGTAAGTATATTTGAAATGTCGCTTTTTGCCATGAAAGATTAGATAAACTGCGTCGGTAAATTATCCGCAAAAATATCGCGTTATTTATACATTTATAATCTTCAGTTGCGCTCACCGTTTCCCAACACTTCCTACCGGCATATGCTGATTTTTGCTAATTTTAAGCATTTTTTATTTAGGTGAGTCTCTACGCAAACAATATATTAAGCTAATCTAAATTTCGGCTCGTATGGCTATCAATTGTGAGTTTGGGTGCATTTTTCAAAGTGCTTTGGGCTTTGTTTTAACAAGTGCGATCAAGATAAAATAATGTTATTGTTGCGGTTTTGTGTGCGGTTTGATCCAGTCCAGCGGCGGTAATGCTACACGCGCCTTTTTCTTGAAACTCGAGGTTAAACCTCTCCAATTCCATCAAAAGTTCGAAATGCCCGCTCGGTTTCTAACGCAAGTTCAAAACTGCACATCTTATCATATCTTTGCGCGATTTTGATATGACGCGAATATAACTCATTAAAATTGACATTTAGCAACGCTCATCATTTGTATTCCAGTCGCATTATGACATTGAAACCCAAAAATAATGCACCGTCTTAATTTGGACAAACGCGTTTCAAAATATTAGGTAATTCCCGCCCGCGCATCCATTTTCTTTTCCCACCATTTGAAATGGAATCCAAGATGAATAACTGCAGAGTTTTTTTTACACTTGGCCAATTGATGTATGTACCTATTAATATAGTACACACGGTCATTTTATAAATAAAAAATAACTCGAGGGGGGTTTTATCGCCATTATCTCAGCATAGATAATTCGCAAGGCGGTTAAGCTTCATTGAAACAAATTTTAATGGTCCGGACGACCTTATACTTATTGTCCGTAATTTTTGAATACTCTTTTGGCACGAATAACTAGCCATAAATCTTTTCTTTTTTCGACCGCACATATTTATATTGATCATTAAGATTCAAAAATTGTAAAAAACAAACAATGCATTCTCTATTGCTTCTATTGGTGCTTGAACATTCTGAATATTTTTAAATAATTAATAATAATTAATAAGTGGCGAAATAATAGCGCGCATTTTCGTCGTAAATGGGCTAGCGCGCTGAGTTGGGTGAGCAGGAAGATGGACAGACGGTCGGACATACTCCCCGCAATTTCGCTATGTATGTTATTTTTTATACGCTATTTTTAAAAGTGGTCGGTGGAAATACTAAATGGTAAATGCAAAATAATGCCCCCCCCCCCTCTCCCCCATTCCTCGGTAATGAATTATTTAGCATCGTCGAAAATATCCCAACAAAAATCGAAATAAACAAGGACATCTCCAGAAAACATAATACGTAGATAGTCTATGGCCCTGACATATAAGTTTTTTAAGAACATTAGATTCTATTTAGTATACTCGCGTCCATAGAGGTGTGTAACTTCCTGGTACGTCTCAAATATTTTTATTTCCTAGATCGATTAAGTTTCAAAGGGGCACTAATAACCCCGAAAATCAGCAGTTTTAAAGCATGTAAGTTTTAAAAAATATTCTACTTTATTTTTTTTAGTTCAATTATTTTTATTTATTTGTTTTAAATGTAATCCTACAAATGCGCTAGAAAAAGATAGCCTTCGGTCATTTTTTAGAAAAATTTAGTTCTGTAGTCACGAATAAATAAACAATTATGGATTTTTCTCAAACCTCGTGTTAAGGCTCTAGCGTTGGTGTCCAGATTATCAGCTAAGAAAATTTCGCCTCCGTCCTTGTCTGATAATTCGTATAGCAGAACCCCGGAACTTCCGATTTTATTTTTTCCGATTTAAACTCGAAAATTTTCGATTACAGGTCAGAATTTCCTGGAATTTTTCGAAGATTTCGGCAACTTTACCGAAAAGAACTTACGAGATCTTAAAATCCGAATGCATGTTTACAATATGAAATGTTTGCCTTCTGTGAAATTTCAAAAAAACATCCGGATAAATAAGTCAGTTGCATGCACGCGCACAGTAATCTGATGTTAACAATATGCGATACGTTTGCTTTTACTAATAAAAACATCTATGGTTAAAATTTCAAAGAGATATATAAGAAAGTTGGCATTGCAAAGTCCGCATTTTGGCTATATGCGAATAGAAGTATTTGTGGTTAAAATTTCAACTAACATATTAATAAATAAGACAGCAAACATTGATAAATTTGCGCATAAGTAGAATGTATAATAATAATAATAATAATATTTATTTAAACCACTTTACAATAAATATAATTTTGTTTGTGGCAAGCCAAGGGAGACAAATAAAAGTATAGGAAGGAGTATAGTATAGAAAAGGACAAGAACAATGTAAGGATGATACGTCTTCAAAAATTAAGCGCTAATGACATACCGGCAAAACTACAGCGAATCCCTTGAAATTGTCACGAAATTCCGTTGAAATTTACCTTTGAATGATACCGAATTACTCCAACATTTTTTAAAGATGTTTTAAAACTGTCCTGAAAGCCACCTGAAATTTCTAGATTCTACTTAACATTTTTAGCGCATTTTCAAACTCATATTGGAAGGCGCTATTATAGCCACTTTCTCCGTCCGTCCGAGACCGTAACTACTCCTACAGTTTTCAAGATATTTTTATTTTATTTATTTGAGTAAATGAGCAATCAATTGTTCAATGGAGAAAAGACAGTCGTATCGTATATTGTAAAAATCATATGCTGGGCGATATTTTTTGACATAGCCAAAGATTCTTCTGGTAAAGCAAACATATCGCATATTTTAAACACCAGGTGTGCGCATGCGCAGACTGCGCAATGCCAAGTTTGTTATTTATAAAAATAGGTGTGCCGTAACTTCTTTTCCTTTGCACCGACACATAAATAGTCTACATGACCATTCGGGCACTACTGATAATTTCATGGAAAATGCGCTAAAGTTGGCCTTAAGGCGAAAACCTCTTTTGCATTTTTTTACTGTAGTTCTCTAAAAATATACTTCAAATATTCTAGGAATTCTCTTAAATCTTCTAAACATTCTCTGAAATGCTTTTTAAATTCTCCATACGTTTTTAGCGCATTTTCATAGTTGGGCTTTAGCCGTAATATCGAGGCGCCATGAAAAATCGGCGATAAAGAACAAAGGCGGATGTGATGTAATCTTTCCGGGAAATGTGATGTGTTTTGTTCTAGAACGTTCAAGACCATTCGGAAGCACTCGAGAATACTCGAGTTGGCTATATAAGCAAATCGAATTGCGTTTTAGGAAAGTTCCAATTTCAACACCGAAGTAATAAATAGTTCCCACTGTTATAAACTGTGTTAATATAATATTTGGGTGTTATAAATCAATTCATTTCAACATTGTTATTGTTATAATTAATTGTAAATATGTAAATAAATCATGTAATTAAATTTACATTACAATATATTTTAAGTATATAGACCTGCTTACCAAAAGTTCCCATCATTTAGTCTTCAGCGCGGCGGCCAGGGGAGCAAATTTTAGTGCTTCCTTACACGTAACTGTTGTCTTGAGCCGGCCCTGCTTAACTACTCCCACAGTTTGTAATATATTTAGTTCGTTCTTTTTGACTTCGGTGGCTTATTATAGCTCTGGCACCGGAGCCAAGCAAAATATCTTGACGATTAATGTGCGCATGCGCAGGATGCGCAATATCAGCTGTCTTATTTATAGAGATATCTTTTCGAAATTTAATTGAATTCGCGACTCCCAGCTAGAGAATGTCCATGACAAGGTCACGCCGAAGCAAATCTGGGAAGCACTGCGGCGCGTTTTCGACGGAAAGAGTATTGACAGTCGGATGCATCTTAAACGCCCGATTCGACGGGATAGGCTTTGCAGGATCACTTCCTCCGTTTCGATAAGCTACTGGGTGAATATCGGGGAACCAGTGCGGACTGTTCGTACCACAGTTACGATATAACGTATTTTCGGTGTTCCGGTTTGAAAAAGCTGGAATGGGTGTCGGGTTTGGGCAAGGACTGATCTATGGATTTTCAACCGATCGGGAAAAATGTTAAAGAAAAGTCGTTGTTTGCGCACAGCAATTTCCCTAAGCGGGAACAGTAACTAATTGGATTCGGTAGCGGTTTCTACGGGAAAGCAATTGCAGGAAGCGAGACAATATGTCCGAAAGTAGCAAAATAAATTCAATATTCCTACAGGAACGGTTGCAAACGGCAAATTACATACGGTCTGTTATTTTGCTTAACAGGTGGCTCATTTCTACCTTATATTCCTAACTTCTACACAGAAATAAATATTTTTCGGAGCGACAATCTTCGTAACGAAGCGCCCAACTTAAGCGCTTCTTGATACAGGGGGTTCATTTATTACAGAGTGATCAGTAAAACCGGTAATTTCCAGGCGCTTCGTTACATTGTCACAATCTCACAAAAAAATAAACCCCTAATAGTAACGAACTTGTCGTAGGTCAGCCCTCGGTCCAAATTCGAGGATAATCAGATCGAATTCGGATTAATTAATAGCGATATTTTCTCTCATTGCAGATAAGAGATGGCGTGTGCAGAACGATGCAGAAGTAAGTACTCTCTCCGTTACCACTGGCAATTAATCGCCAGCGTTTTTTTTTTTAGAATTAATTTCCATGCGCTACATACTAGCGGTATTGGGCTCGATTGCGATGGGAATAATTTACGGTCTGAAGGTAAATCTAAGCGTGGCGATCGTCGCCATGGTCAACCACACGGCCGTCTCCGAAGGGGGCGACCACGAGGACGGCGAAGATGGTCCCTTCGCCTGGGATAGTACGATTCAAGGTCTGCTCAAGAGCGCCTACTTCTGGGGGTACATTGTGGCCCAGTTGCCGGCGGCTAGAATAGCCGAGCTATTCAGCGCCAAGTGGGTGATGTTCTTTTCCGTCTTTATTAATGTGATTTGTACGATTCTGTCGCCGGCGGCCGCGAAGTGGCATTACGGCGCGTTTCTCTTTATGAGAATCCTGGAAGGGGTCGGGGGTGGAGTTACGTTCCCGGGCATGCATGTGCTGTTGTCACGATGGGCGCCACCTACCGAGAGAAGTGTGATGAGCAGCATTGTCTATGCTGGAACCGCCCTTGGAACGGTTGTAAGTATTAATGTACCTAGAGAATAATCGCTGCATAAACGCGTCCAGATTTTTACTTTAGTCACTGGTTTAATCTCATCTGCGTTTGGATGGGAGGCCATTTTCTACATTGAGGGAGGTTTCGCCGCAGTTTGGTTGTTGGTCTGGTTCATACTGGCATCCGACTCTCCAAATCAGCACAAGTTTATTACTCCAGAAGAGAGGCACCTTATCACCTCATCGTTAAATGAAGGAGACGATTCTGAGGAGGTAGATTTTTTTTACAGCAAAATCTGGGGAGTAATTAGTTAAACTTGCAGAAGAAGAAGCCTGTGGTACCATGGAAATCAGTATTCACATCGCCTGCCTTTCTTGCGATATTAGTGGCGCATACCTGCTGCAACTGGGGTTGGTACATGGTCCTGATAGAGCTCCCCCATTACATGAGCATGATTTTGAAGTACAAAATTGCCGACAACGCTGTCATAAGTTCGATTCCATACTTCACGATGTGGATTTTTAGTATGATTTTAAGCAAAACGCTAGATGTCTTACGTGGGAAGCACAAGATCACGACGACCACCGCTAGAAAGATCTCAACACTGATCTCATCCATCATACCACTAGTCAGTTTTATCACCATTTGCTACAGCGGCGACGATAGGACCTTAGTGACCGTTTTGATGACCGTCGCCATAACGGCAATCGGAGGAATGTTCAGCGGATATTTGTCCAATCACATAGACATAGCGCCGAATTTTGCCGGTACTTTGGTTGCAATCACCAATACCTGCGCCACAATTCCTGGTATTGTCGTACCCGTATTTGTTGGAGAGCTCACACGAAAAAATGTAAGTTAATTCCATCGCTAACCGTTATAGTTCGCGCGCTATAAATGCACTAAAGTCACTAAATATAGAAAGTACCGCAATCCATTGGGCTCGTGTGTTAGAAAGAGAACGCATGATTTTTGCCCAAAAATGGCGGAAGTTACCAGATTCTAGTAACTTTAATGTTAGGGATTGTTCCACCTGTTTGGAAATATCTTTTATAAAACATGACAGTACTATGAAGTTAGGTTATAAAAAATTACAGCTATTCAGATTTTATTTGTCAATTTTTTTAAGTTGGCAGCAAATTTGCCCAAAAATGGCGGATGATTGCGGTACTTTCTATATCTAGTGACTTTGAAATGCACAACTGTCAATCATCCGCCCATATCAAAGTTTCTTTTCATTTGCCACGCCCACGTGTAAAAAAAACCATACGGTATCCACCTAGTGGAGCATTTGGAAATGAACAACATGAAAAATGCAAATAAAAAGAAATTGACTTTGCGAGGGTCGGTTTTTATAGTGAACGATTTCTAGTATCTTTCACTCGTCTATTTTCAGCCGACAATTGAATCATGGCAAATTGTATTTTGGGTCACAGTCACTTTATACGCCATCGCAACGATTGTTTATGCCATCTTCGGTTCGGGAGAAGAGCAAAAGTGGAATAAGCCGAACAATAAAGTGGACGAAACGCAACCACTTCGACAGCTAAAGCCTAGCCCTTAGGTATATACATGAGCAATTATCTGATAAGTTCAAATTGATTCACTCTAGGGAAGCGTAGTTCTGTGTCGATGTCTTTGAGCTTTTTTCAGTCGCTCGATAACACGACTGAACGAAGAATATCAAACTTTCTGAAAAGACTAATTTATGCCTATACTTCAATGTACCTACGTTAGAATAAATAACGTGCTGTTTGTTGCTGTGAATCATGTAAAAATAAATTATCAAGCTGTGTTTATTCCTATATTCGTCTTGAGCATTCAATCGGCCTATGGCTACTGTTTTGTGCCTTGTTTAGAGCTATCAGGTCTTGTCGAACCTTCTTTCCTGAATTGTCTAGGCTCTCTACAGTTGTAGACTTAGCTAGTTCTTTTCAAATGCTTTTCAGAGTGCTGCAAAAGGCCTATAAAAAACTGTAACAAATATTTCATTCAACTTCAAAATGAAGACAACGTAAAGTTTACAAGTTTGGTAAAAATCCCCCACTCTTCTTCCAATTTCTAACGCACCCGGTATATCAAATTTCATAACATTTGACTGTTTAGTTACCAGAGCCACAGCCACTTCCGTGTGATTGTGAGTGAAATTGTGAAAGTTGTAATAAAACAAGAAGAAATAAATGCAATCATTAACGAGAAGGTTTTGGTTAACAATGATGCCCCCGAAACGAGAAAGCAAGAAATTGGGATATGTGTGGGTTTAACGTACCTATAACCGGGACAAGACAATGATTTGAAATATTCAGTGTAATACCAAAAATTGCACATTGGGGACTGTAAAGATTTTGAAATGTGACCATTGTGATTATGCAACCGACAACAAATTCAATTTGAAAAGGAATTTTGTTACACACAAATCTGTCAATGATTTAAAATGTGCTCGGTGTGATTATGTAACTAATGACGAATCAAATTTAAGAACGCATTTATTAATGCAGGAGACTTCCAAAGATAAATGCGATTACATCTAAGAAGATTAGCCATATTTATTTCTTTTTCTTTTTTAATTGTACAATTTTCTTTATGTCTCTATTTTTATCGCTCGCAACACGTTTTAACAATAACGATTTATAACTAACTTTACCCTCTTTGCGTGCCTCACTTACCGCAGGTGTCAACTGAATGGGTCGTTCGGTTTCAAAACTTAAAAACTCCTCACCCTTCACTTTCAAATCGGAATCGATTGACTCTCTTCGCCGAGACGGTTGTGGAATAAAAACCCTTTCACTACTCGTCCTTTGCAAGTACAAGGAAGGCAGTTGTGGATCTTCCGAATCGGAATTGCTCTCGCTCACATCCATAGCGTTATCCTCGAAGTCACGATTAGAATGAATATGATCTTTAGGAGGGGGGTAATTGCGATATATTTCCTTAATCACCCCGTTGACTCTCGAGTAATCTAATTTGGTACGTTTAAATGCGACGACAAGGCTGGGCAAGTTCATAACTTCCTTTAGTAGATTTTTCAGATTGGGCACAACTAAAATAGGTACCTTATGCAAAACGCAGATGTCCACGACATGTTTAACAATAAACTTCGGTTCTACGTCATCCGAAATTAGCACAGACCCCGCCAGTTTCTTCTCCAATAGACGAGTTGCTTCGTTAACTCCAAATACGACTGAAGATCTACAACAAATGTGGCACATTACTTAAACCAAGTCGCGAAGCGCACCTGTAGCTTTTCGTGGGCGATGTAATGTTGGCGGAACGAAAGGCTTTTCGTTGCTCTTTAGGTATGGTTTTCATGACGCACCACGGTACGCTGACTTTATCTGCCTTAAAGCAGCCGAAATCTTTCCTCAGCAAGCTGCAGATTTGCTGTTCCTCGTTGCTGTTGATCAAAGGCCTTAAAGTTGAATGTTAGTGATCGGATAAGGTGGTAATGAAGGAGACTATTGTACCAGTAATTTGCATACGGTGTTCCTAATACATTCTTTACGGTTGTCTTTTTATTTTTCTTTTTTCCGGATAAGGAATGCTTTTGTTGTTCTGCGGATAAGATGTGTGCTTCCATTACATTTGAAAGACTCCACTTACGGTTTGAATTGTAGGTTATGCACACAATAAGAGGTTATGTCTTCATAAGCTGTTAGGACTGTACCGGATGATACAAAAAAAATTAAACGTGATTTCCTAATTCTTTGTATGGCCTGCGCCATTCTCATAATTTGTCCACGATTTCATACTTTTCATGTGCTTTTTTATTCAATGAATAAACGAAAGATATAAGCATTGAATTTATAACTTAAATTCAATGATATAAGCATTGGTATAAGTCAGACCCGCAATAATTTTACCTGTATATATGAGTTTTAGACGCAAGTACAGCTTAGCCACAGTCAAATTTTGGCTGTTTGCTGGTATAGAACAATAAACACCAGTCCTTTTGGCGCACATTTTCAAAAAAATTGGGAAATTGTCCTTCAATTCTAGGTTTGTCACTTCGCTGAAACAGGTTTTCTTCCGACTTCCACCCTCTTTGAGTACATTCCTGGAATCAATACAAAAATTCCAGTGAAAAAAATGTCAGATAAGGAATCACAAGAAAGCGATAAACACAAAACTGGTAATTACAAAGCACAAAAAAATCCTTAATTTTAATAGACATATTCAAGCCCTATTAAAATCTTTAAATTTGTCAGTGTTTATTAGGCAAGGACCGAGACAGATCCCGATCGCCTCAACGGCCATCACCTAAAGTAGATAATATAGGAATGATAGCTAAAAATCGTTTAAAGAACATGAGTATACAAAAGAAATTAACAGCTTTGAAGTCGACGTCTAGCCCGAAACCGAAGATGTCGGTCGCGGCCGCATTTAATCTAGACAGCGACGACGAACCGGAGGAAATGCCGCCGGAGGCACGGATGCGAATGCGTAACATCGGGCGGTAAGTAGACGACCACTCGAAACCCCCGAACTCACGTCGTTTCTAGAGATACCCCGACGTCTTCGGGTCCAAATTCGTTCGGCAAAACGAAACACGGCTTTTCGGACGCGAAGAAGCTGTTCGAAAAGAATCTAAAAGACGCGATGGATAGCGCTCTAGCAGACGATTAATTTTAGTGTAATTCTTATTTATTGGACTGTTTCATAGGTAGAATAAAAGTACGAAATTAAGTCAATTTTTTCGGATGTATATTGTGAAAGTAGGTAGTCGACCATTAAGTAAATAATAAAAAAAGGTTACTAGATAAATTGTTTATTAGAAATTCTACTTTCTAACAGGCTGAGCAACTCGGGCGTTGTCTCGTCCGGGGAAGTTGCGTTGGGGTGGTGTACGGATTCTCCTCTCCTTCTTGCTTCGGTTACGTACGACTTTACTGTGGATAGCGCAGGACACACAGTAATGTAACTTGGCGTAAAGTTTTGGGAGTACATACTCTGAAAACGGACAGGTTATTGGTTTGTTATAGATGATGTTGTACTTACGAGAATACACTGATGCCTCCGTAATATCTCTCACAGCAGCTGCTTCGACGATATTACGAATGACAAACTTCTTAATTGCCTTATCTTTTGGGACACAACGTGCACAATTGGTGCATCGCACTGGCTTAACGTGTCCGCGTCCGTGCTTGGCACGTCCTCCGTTGCGCCTCTTACAAGTCTGGAAACACACGTGTAAAACGTTTAGGTTATAAACTACCAATAATCTCAACAATGCGATTTAATAACAGAAAGCCGTAATAACTCGCCTGTACGCATAAAAAACGCACAGAATCTTTGCAATTAACGTAAAAATTAAAAACATTTACCATATTCTAGCGATGCCTGTACAATCGGAAACCAAAAGAACAATGGCGATTGGCGATATGTGTTTTTTTACACCATGTTGGTAGACCTGTCCGCGTAACTCAAATTTGAAATTATTCCCGCCGCCGCACCCAACCGAAACGGAAACTTTCATAGAACCCAAAAAATAGGCCTACACTGCTCCAATTGTTTACCTAATGGAGCGTTTGAAGAGAAAGCTCCCCGGCACAAAATATAAAAGCGTAAATCCAACAGCACCTCTTACAGTAAATCCTCATTAGTGCCGAAATGCAGCCGGTAAGTCTTAGAGCGCCCGTTCCAAATGTGCAGATAATTTGTTTTAGTTCGCCAAACTTCTTTTCGTATTCGCCGTTATCGCTGTAGCAGTCAGCCAGGCAAAGGTGGCGAAACCAGCACCGGATGCACAAGCCGAACCTGCAACTCGACTAGAACGACAAGCCGGCGGACATCATCACGATGCGGTCGATTTTGGTGCGCACACCGGACACAAAGGGGCCTTTGGATGGCACGCCGATTTTCCAGTTCATAGTCATCACTAAATTCATTTTTCATCCTCTAACCATTTCCATTTTTACTAACATTGGTAGGGTACCTCTATCACTATCGTGTACCATAAGTGCGCATGTCTTGAAGGTACTTTTGTTGTTGTAAATAAGTAATCTGTTATCTCTAATGAGTGTGTTATTTCAATTTTCATTATATAAAATTAAATAAATACTTAAATACACAAATAACGTTTAAGTTTATGCTGCAGAATTAATGATATGTGCACCCTTAGGACTTAGTCCAACTTCCAACGTCTATCCCTGTCACGCACCTTTCTTGGTAGCAGAGGAAATAATAGATGTTGTTAGCTAGAAGTTATATGCTTTAAATAACATATTATTTAAACAAAATACTATGATCCGGTTTATTCTTGGTGCTTCAAAACGTGCATTTCTGTAAAAAAACAGTGGAGGTCCCAGTCCCAGTTTGAAAACAATAGGACCAAAACTGTCGCAAAATATAAAAAAAATTTGCCAGTTGCTAATCATGCATAGTGCTCCGGTGTGCGAGTCCCCCGAGCACGGATTAATTCTCCGGGAGCGCATTATCCGGATGCGAATTGTCCGAGAGTGAATGGTCCTACAACCGTGTAGGTGATACTCCGGTGGATCGGTTTCAGGAAACGAAGGGTTGAAAAAGTTACCGGTTTCGTTTTGTGTAATGATATGAGTGGGGAATGGCCGAAGAAGAACAATATTGATATAGTTGGAAAAAAATGGCACCAAGAAATGAGGAGGGCACAGAATCATCAGCTTGGTTGTGTATACACTGTTATTCATTTAGAAGTAGACATAGGGAGTTTCTATGTCTACTTTTAAATGATAAAAAGCTTTCTTCAGTTGAATACATCGCACAATAATGAAAATAAAAAACCAAAGCAATAATATTCCAGTTAATTAAAGACAGTAAAATCTTCATTTGTTTTGAGAAGTTATTTTGGTTGCATAAAATTAGGCGTTCGACAGAAGGTTTTTTGTCATTTAAAACTAGACATAGGGAAAACAATACACAAATTCCTATGTCTACTTCTAAATGAATATCACTGTATATGCCGCAAAGATATTGTTGAGGGTAAGTAGATATTAAACCGGAGATTGAAACGAAAGCAATATATGTGTGAGGTTGTTTGGGTCTTAGAAAATGTAAAAGACGCAGTTTGGAGAAAGATGCTTGGAGAAGGAAAACAGTTTGAAAAAGTGGGTTTTGTTAGCATGGAGGAGGCGTTTGATTAGGCTGGAGCAGGTGAGCCGATACAAGTACTTATAGGTACCGAGATAGTCCGGAGTTGGAGAAGCTGTAAACGAATAAAAGCTAGCAAGCACACAGAAAGGTGCTCGGAAGCGAGATGAGTGTAAAATTGAGGAAGAGACTGTAAAGTCTTATGTGTCTGGAGCGTAATAGCATATATGGTTGTCAAGCGTAAACAACAAACGAAGAAGGACGAAAGAAAAATAGAAGCTTTGATAATTTGGATATGGGGAAGGATTTTGAAGATCTTGGAAAGACAGAGCGGGGAATAAGGAAGTAGGTACTGGAAACAGTTGGGGCAAAGAGCTATTAATGAAGGACAAAAGAAAGAGAAATTGGTTGAGAGAAAGCAGTTTACTTAGAGAAGTCTCTAAATGAGAGTGGAAGAAAAGTGTAGAGATGATAGACGGTATGAAGGATGGGAGAGGAGTAGGTATACGTAGCAATGAAGAGGAAGATGCACAAGAGAGAACCGATGGTGATGGTACACCAAAAGTTAATTTTAATTTCAAAACAAAAATATTTGTGAGCAAAGGTCAGTCGGTCCCAGTTACTCGAACTAAAACCCAAAAAGATCAATGAATTACAAGTGTTATCTAACTCAGTAATTCATTTATTGCGGATGAGCATCCCTGTAGATTTTTCTTTGATGTTCGAGAGTATTTCCGTAAACGCTCTTGGAGTGTATACGGCATACCGTAAAAGCGCAATCGGGTAAATCAATAAATATAGTCTTTTGCTCTAATTTGCAGCTTCTCGCTCGTCCTTGAGGCGGCAATTTGTTTATATTTAAAAAACAGAACAATTAATTTTGATTATTTGCACATGATGTCTTTAAAAGAACAAAAAAGCGAACTCATTTGTTTGTGTACAATAACACAATTAAGATTGATCAATGTCGTCAAGAGGATCGAGTGGTTTGAGTTGCTCAGTTTCTAAAGAAAAGGTACCTTTTTTAATCTCTACTTTTGTTTTTTGCCATTTATTTTTTGTTTATATAAACCGTCGTAGTTAGGACGTACGTTATCGGGCAGTATTTGTATTGGATTAACGATGTCGATGACGTAAACGTACGTCAGATTTTTTTTCCGAATTCCCGGGGCAGTACGAAATTATTATTTTATTGATTTGTGCGTGTTTAAATTTTTAATTCGTTTTGTAAAAAGCCTGTCCGTTTACAGGTTTGAATGGGCAGCATGGAAGTTTTTGTACAATGGACATCGGAGAGATTGCTGTTGAAAGTGGACCGTGTCTCGATACAGTGAGGGCTCTGCATCAAACCGTTGTCGCGCTTAGGACCGCTTTGGAAAGAAGTCGGAACGAAATCTTGGAGTTAAAACGGAGAGCCTGGCCGAAACACCCTTTGGAAAATGTTTTAAACAATCTCTCTCATCAGGATGACGGCGGCAAACACGTCAGAATTTGCACACCGACTTCGTTGACCGACCCGCGACAAGTTTACCAAACTTGTACATCGCAAAACTTTCGTAATGAAGGTCTCCACCCCTTTGTAGATATATCAATTTCGATCGAAAAAGTAAGCCCTCGGCGGATCTCCGCCTCACTCGACAATTTGGTTGTACCCAAAAGTTTGAGTGTCTCAAAAACGTTCAGCTACTCAAACATACCACGCAGAATGAACGAAAATTCGACACCCCGCCTATCGGCACGTGCCATGTCAACTCCGCTAAACGTATCGTCGTCGCCAAACATCTCAGATTGCCAAAATACCTCAACCAACGGCCTACCGTTGGAAAACGCTCAATCCGAACCGACCCTCCCTCACGAGCTCGAAGAGGTCGACGATATCGAGCTAATATTTACCACCGACGAGACTAGGGACTCTGATTTCAAAGAGGAGCTCGTTCCGATAGATCACGATGGACCGGCACGGGTAAGTCTCCCTCCGACTCGCGACTTCGTTAACCCGGCGCTTGTAGAATCTACACGAGTTCGAGCACAGCTTGTCGGATCGCGAATTGGACGACGACGTGTTCAGCGAGACCGAAGGTTTGGATTCGACCAAGAAGGAAAACTCGCAGATGGGCAACTCGAAGTCCGACAACTCGATCAATCACGAGGAGAAGAGCCTGAAAAGTTACTACTCGTATCAGGATTCCAGCTTCGAGAATAAGTCCCTCGAGAAGGACGAGAGTTTCGATAGGTTCGACGATCGTATACGCATTATTGAAACTGATATTTCCAAATGCGGTATTACCGATGCGGATTACGCGGCGGCGAGGAGAAACACCTGTCCCAATCCGTTACCGTATCGGCCTATTATACACAGGTACTATAACTGTCGTTTTGGTCGTTTTACTGTTGAGAAAAGGGGGGAGAAAGAGCAAATTGTAGCCTCAAAAAAACATCAATGTCTTCCATCGTTGCCACATGTATTTTAATTTTCACTGGCCTCTTTGTATGTTATTTGGCTTTTTCATAAAGAAAAAGTCACATCATTCCATCTGATTTTTTAAATTTTTTTAGGATTTTGGATCATCATAGTATCAAAACTAGCCCCCTGGCGGAGAAGGATTCAACTAAATTAACTATATTTTGGTTGATTCTCACTGCCCAAGGAATGCTCTTTTCAACCATACCAACTTTGTTAAAATCGGTCAAATTGCAAAAACAATTGAACGCCCCACGCCATCTTTGTTTTTGAAATAAATGAGTTTTTGTTTTTTATAAAAATGACAGATAAACTGGTTCTCTTTAAAAATGTGAAAAAAAATGTTTAGTTTATTATGCGAAATTTAAAGAAAATGCAATTTTAAAATTTAAGATGGCATTTACGCCCTCTGTTGGTAATTTTTAGAACATGAAAATATTTTCCAGCGATTCTTCATGACCGAATTACCCAATAATTTTTCTTACCCCTAAGTCATATGACGAACGGTTCTCGAGATATGGCAGAGGAACAGTCTTATTGGGTCACCCAGTACATAAAAAAGTACTATTTTGGCAAAATCTTTAATTAATTAATAAAACCTTTAATTACCCTTTAATTAAAGTCACTAGATATAGAAAGTACCGCAATCATCCGCCTTTTTTGGGCAAATTTGCTGCCAACAAAAAAATTGACAAATAAAATCTGAAAAGCTGTAATTTTTTATAACCTAACTTCATAGTACTGTCATGTTTTATAAAAATTATCTCCAAACAAGTGGAACAATCTCTAACATTAAAGTTACTAGAATCTGGTAACTTCCGCCATTTTTGGGCAAAAATCATGCGTTCTCTCTCTAACACACGAGCCCAATGGATTGCGGTACTTTCTATATTTAGTGACTTTACCTTTAATAATAGAGAAACGCCTCCTAGCGGCCAAACGATTAACGATAGCTGAATTCTGTTTGCGCCAGTTTTCTCTTTAAAATACACCTAGGCCCATTTTTTTATCCCTTAAAATACAGGGGGTTCCCATAACAAAGTGTCCACTCTGTACGGCAACACTCAACCACCTTTTAGCTTAAAGTAACAATGTTTTTAGGGAAGGAACGGGTAAAGGCCTAAACACGCGTCAGGGCCGGCCTATCCTGTCCTATTCGAGCAATGCGCGACGCGAGTCCGGAGTCCAGACCGACATCTCCGCCGTGTCCAGTTCGTCTTGGCGTTCGGAAAGTAGCCTCGCTCACAAGGTACGGTTGTTGATTTGGCCGAGCCGAATTCACGACGCCGTTTTTTTCCTGTAGGCGAAAGTCGGTGAGAACTTTACCACGTTACCTTCGAAGTTTCCGCTTCCCGGTTCTCGCCTGCATTTATCGGAGAAGACAAACGTGGAGGCGAGACGGATCTTACTGTCCGATATTGGCTTCACGAGCATGGTGCCGGAACTGTCACGGTCCGCCGATCACCTATGCCCCGCCAATTTGAAGGCGCCGTTGCCGACGTCCTACGGACAATTCCTGAGGACGCCGGATTTGTACTCGCCAAGCTTCATGGTGAGGCTTGGTTTTTTTGTCGAGTATTCCATAAGAAACTGATTTCGCGTGATAGGCAACACACATAACACGCGCGCATATGTAAATGCCTGTGTGAATTTGGAATTGGAAATGCCGTTTATACACGATTGCATTTTGCTTGCGCGCGGCCGTTTTCAAAATGTCGATAAAGTCAAATTTGAGGGAGGGGGGGGGGCAAATTCATAACTGTCCCCCAATTTTCCAAAAAATTATTTTATCACAGTGGTCGATTAGGATTGCGCTTTCCTAATGCAAAATTCCAGGTCAATTTGGGGGGCCATTAATGCAATTTTGTATTCAGAATAATTGGAAAACGGCGGGCGCCAACCCACCCCAATCGGTTGCTCTGTGAAAAAATATTTTTTTGGAAAATTGGGAGGTAATTTTGAAAACGGGCGCAAGGTTGGATTGTTTTTTATTTGAATGCTCCTTTTTCCTTACTAAATAGAATGATTAATACAAGTGGTAGTCTCAGAAATTCACGTGGACGGCTACTACAGCATCGCCAAGCGAAGTAAGTCAACTGCATTCCCAATTCGGCAGCATGTACCCACTGTCGTCGCCGCCCGCGCCGTCAAGGCGGTTTTCGGCGCCGGTCTCGCCGTCTCGCAGAGTAATCAAGCCGACGATTTCCAAAGTGCGTTTCGCCAACGGCTCGCTGCCCGAGCTCAGGACGGATTGGAATTCGACGCTCGACAGCGGCGACTCCACAGACAGCCTGGTGGAGGAGGCGGAGCATTACTTGCGTCGATCGATCGACTGCATATCCGATAGCGTTTACGGAAATCGTAGGTACGTTGGCATCAAGCGATGGGCACTAGTCCTAGATATCGTTGTAGGGACGAGTTTAGGCTGCGCAAGTCGAGGCGCGCGTCCGCCCCCGAACCGGCGGGCGATAACGTTCCGCCGCAAAATTGGCAGCCGTTCTTGCCTAGAAATCCGCGCGATCTACACCTGGACCATTGGGTGAAGGTCATCGTTCCCGAGGGAAGGGTGCGAGGGGGACGCGTCCGGTACGTGGGAACGTTAATCAATCAAGCTGAACAGTTCGTGGGGGTGCAGCTAAGCACTCCCGATGGGCATTCCGATGGCACTTACAAAAGTAGGCGGTATTTTAATTGGTAAGTAGGTACCTCATTTGTTTTCTGGGCGGTTTTTATTTCTCTCTTCTTTCTAGTGAGCCTTGCCATGGAATCTTTGTGCCATTTAAGAAAGTTGTTATGGGCTGGAGACCATAATTGATTGAGTTTCGCTGGAAGTGAATCGGTTCATAAGGTCTTTGGAGGAAATCATTTTGTACACACTTCATTTTTAAGCGTCACAATATTTATCATTTAAAAACACACGCGCGTGGGCCTTCGCAGCAGTCGTCGGAGCGCCAGCTTGGTTGAATAAAAATGATCGGATCAAGAATGTGGCCCACACCTTGCACCTTCTTTCTATTGCGCTCATTTTATTAAGTGGCACTCAAAGATCATGCTCAAAGAAAGGCGATAACTTAAATCAAGAGTACTTACTGATTTATTTGAATTAAGTTCAAGGACTTGGCACTAGAGGGCTACAAGATATATCGGCTACGGATTGCCATACTTATTCAAAAGGTGATAAGTGGGTTTATTGAAAATCTCTAGTAGGACACTTGTTAATAGCGTAGGTTACCAGACTGATGTTCAATGTTAGAGGGGGCGATGCGACCTCACTTAAGCCGCAGAACCCCGATGGCAAAACAAACGCGCCATAAGAATAGTGGCACAAATTAGTTGAATGCACAATTTGGACTAGATATCGATTGCCTTACATTAATTAAAAATGATCCAGCTTCGATTTCTCATTTTGATCTCTGATTTGCATGTATACATATCATATATATTTGTATTTTTGTATCTATTTAAGCCTATGATTTTGTAAGCGACCTTGCCAGAGGCGAGAAGGTATTTTTGTATGAGATTCGAAATTGAACTGCCAAACTTTTTTTGTTTCCTAAAACTGTCTAATGTTCGACATTTAAATGATATAATCTCAAAGTTGCATTCGCCTAAAAAGTATCAGACATACCTAATCGAACATAAGTGAACCGTTAGTGCTTTGTGTTGTTACCATGAGATAATATATGACCTAATCAACTGAAATTGCCAATTTATTTTTTAGAAAAACTTATATCTGTGTATTATAATGTAGAAAATTGAATGTACTTGTTTCTCCTTTGTCTCTTAAATGTTTAGAAATGGAAAGATGTTTGTTTTCCCTAATAACTGTAACAAATCCTGTAGAACCATTATGAGTCGACCACGTTAATTATATAGGAATTGAATAAATGTTCCTGTTATCATCTTTATGAAGAATTGTAAATAAAATAAGAAATATATATATACATATCTATTATGCACTTTCTTTCAATTAAGTCTTTCGTGCTCTGGTTTTTGCAAAACTCGACGGACCTGTAAGCTGTATTGAAAATCAAGTACTACTCACTTGCCACGCCTCTCGGTCAAAGTCGGGGGCGACTTTATTTTCCATTCTCTCCAACACTGACGACATTTTTTTTAAATGACACTGAAGCAAGAGCTCCCAACTCCTTAATCGAGACGAAGGGCGGGTTGGGATTCTTCAAGTTGGCGGCGTCTTCCTCTCTAAGAGACCCAAGCGGCATTGCTGTCCTATCCAAAATCCCCCTCAAAGGGAAACAATGACCACAAAAAGCCAAAGGCCCCCAAGCCAACCCACAATCAGTTCGATAGAAAAAAAAAGGGTTCTGGATCCTGCCAACCCTTATCACCTAGGCATGTCAATTGAAAGATACAGAAAGAATCATTCCCACCACATTAACTAAATCATACACTCCCAATAATTCGGGATTTGGGATCACCTGCAGTTGTTTAGTCGCCTCTTACGACACGCAGTGCTTTCTGCGGTAGGGTTATTCTTTCCCGGCCCTACACGGGATTGCCAAATTCCCGACAGAACAGGTTCGTATAGCTCCAACCAAAAATAGCGCTTTTATAAAAGTATCTTCAAAAAATGGGAAGTGTAGGGAAAAAACGTTTCCCACGAAAATTTATTTATTTTCCGATATACATATAATTAATTTAAAGGATACATTTCTACTTGAGAAAAATAATTTGCCCTACACTTGACTCTTAAAGGACGTGAAAATGTGCATAGCATCATTATATGGACCCCTCCATATGAAGAGTAGTCGATTTTTGGTAAAAAAGGAAGGTTATACACTGCCTTTTTTTGAGACCCGAAAAAAAAATTGTCTCAGATCGACCCGGAAAAAAAATGTTCTTATAGAATGTGGCCTGTAGAATCCATAATTTCAAACAGTTCCAAGATTGGGCTACTAGTTCAAAAGTTACAGCCCTTTGAATTTTTTTTCGAAATTGGTTTCTAGTCTATAACTTTTGATTGAGAAGTCTGATCGAAAAAGTACGAATTGATTTGGATTCTACGCACCCAAATTAATAAGAAAAAGTGTTTTCCCGAGAATTTTTGGTGTAGTCGATTTTTGGTAAAAAAGGAAGGTAATACACTGCCTTTTTTTGAACCCCGAAGAAAAAATTGTCTCAGATCGACCCGGAAAAAAAATTTTCTTATAGAAAATTACCATACAGTTTTTTTTACGTTGCAGCTGATAATTAAAAGTAACAAAATATACAATCCACACGAGGTGCGTCGCCTATCATTGTATTTCAGCACTTTCATACTACGACAAAAAATGATAAATTCATTGTAAAACACTTCAATTAAAACAGAATTTTTTAACAACCTAACATCAACCCCAATTAGAGAAACGTGTTAATAATTTATTAATAGTGCAAGAAACTAAATACAGCACATACCTACTTATAAATTTCCAACGGGCCATTATGATCTACAGGCCAGGTGACAACCGCCACCCGCCCCCCCGGGTCAGTCCGCCCCTGCTAATGGCTAAAAAAGGACGGGGTAAAGGTACATTACTAACATGTAGGTACGGTTTTGGTCAGAAGTAATCTCCCTCGATTATCACAAGTGTCTCAAATATTCTAAAACCAAGCATATTTATAGATCAAGGAAATTAGAACGCTTGAAAATCGATAAATTTTCGGGATCGCCAAGTTCAGATACCCTCAAAATGGCCCGAGGATACTTAGGCGTGGCGCTACAGGGCGGGGTGAAAAATAAACCGTGCCGAGAAATTGCTCGGAAATCGTTTTGGTTGAGGGTTTTTGCGGTCGCCGAGTCCATATCTGCCCTATAAATTTCCCGAGGGTGCTCAAGGGTGGCACTGCACAGGGGTGCAGTAGAATGAAAAAACCCGGGCCCACAGGAATCGTTATTGGTTACTCGAAATCGTCACCCCTGCATCCCTGGGGAATTTAAGGGCAGATGTGGATTCGGTCTAAAATCCCCCAGTTACCCCCCGAGTTCATTTTTTACTCCACTGAACCACCGGCACGCCATAGTGCCGCCCCTGAGCATTCTGTAATTAGAATATTCTGTTCTGTTGGGCAATAAATATTATTATTATTATCACCGGCCAATTTCGAAGGCAGATATGGACTGTGCACCTCTGAAACCTGAGGAACGATTTCTAAGCGGTTCCTGGCTGGGCAGCTCTGAATAAAAGTGACATTATTGCAAATTTTACAACTCCCAATGTAATTCGCAAGACAAGATTTTATTCTTGACCAATAAAATGAACTACATGATTTTTATTTTATTTTATTGTAGCAATTTTCTAGAGCGATATCAAGAGGCCATCAAAGTCAATAATTAAGGATTAGTCATCGCCGGATGTGTTCGTCCAGGATATGCTGACTCTAGAAGCTTTTCGTTTACTATAGTTTAGCAAATTGAATGGTGTTTAATGGAAGTTCCAATATCGACACCGAAGTGATAAATTATGAAATTCGGCTCACGTTATAAATTTACATGTTCCCGTGTCGGTTTGAGTGGACCTTTTTAATGCTCTAGGTCTAGAAACTATCAGTCGGCTATTTAAAAACTCAGAATTTCGTTAACTACTACTTCCATTTCGCATGTTATAAAAAAATACTAACTTAACCTTAATACTCAACAATGTTACCTGAATCTCAGCATCTCAAAGTTTACTCACAGATTTTTTTTCATATTATGTAAAATGGTTATGGAGGATTACGTTTAACCTTACCCATCTTACATATAATATTTCATCGTCTATGGGTCTAAGGTTTGTTTTAAGGTTGGTTACAGATTATTTAAACATAATCTAAATTCCCGTTCCTTCCTCTGCTTAGAATTTGTCACCATCAAAGAGCCAATCTGACATCTGTAATTACAATGAACTAAGAGTCGTCTATCAAAGAAGTGTTGTTCCGAAGTATCATCATTTGGTGTTTGTGAGTTATTTAATGAAAATCGCAGTTACGACCGGATATTTTGGATTATTAATACTAAAATTTCGTTAATTCATTGTTAAATTAATTGTACTTTGGCCCTGAGTCCCTATTTTTAGGGCATTTTATTCACTTTCAAAAAATAAAAAGTGCACTTTTGCGCTCTTGATAATGTGTTTGTCTGTCTGTCTGGGTCACAAAGGCTCCGGAACTACACCACACTTACAGACTTGGTATTGGTGTCTTCTGATCAGAAATTAAAAATTATTTCATGTTTGTATTCTCCTAATTAAGGCATGAAAAGTCCTTAAGGGCAATTAAGAATGAAAAAAAAAACTCACAAGCGGCTAAACGAATTTTTTTGTATTTTTCCTTATCGACTTTGTTTTTTTGTTAAATTTATTGATTGTAAATGTGTAATCGAACCCAAATTACGAACTATGAGATAAGAGTTTTCATGATAAATTGTTTTCTTGGTACTCATCAGGGATATTCCAGGTGTTTAATTAAAAATTTGTAATATAATTCTTTGAAATTGCAGAGGCGGTTTTAAGAAAATTGCTAGTAAAATTCCCAGAAAAGATATTGGCAAGTTAACACACTTTTCAAGCAGAATCTTTTTGTTTAAAAGAAGGTTTTTAAGAAGGCTTTGAGAACAAAGGAAGGATAGACCACAAACAAAATATCCAATTTATCTATGTCTATGGCTATGCCTAAACAATTGCAAGATATCAAAAGTTTTTATTAACAATAATACTAAATAAAGAAAACATTTACGAAATTCTTTCCAGCTTACAAAAATAGGTGGGTCCATAGTTTTGCTTTACCAGCGGTATGACTAAGTGTCCATATCTCATCAGTTGTTGATTGGCAAATTTATAAACATTACGAAACGGCGTCAGAGCCGGCCCCAGGTCCCTAATAAATTGAAACATTTACGAAACGGAAATACCGCCTTTGTGAACTTACTTAACAATAATTTTTCTGTTTGTTTCCTCCCATATTCGCTTTAATGCCATGTGAACGACACCGTCATTTTGTATGGGGCTCAAGGTGCAAGTGGAGTAGACCACTACGCCACCCTTTCCGATTAGCTTCAATGCGTTCACCAGCAGCGCCGATTGCAATTCGGGTAATTTCAGTCTCTCTTTGATTCTCGTAGGTTTAAAGATGTTATTGTCATTTTCGAGGACCGAGTGTCGATCGGTCGTGCACGGAACGTCAACCTGAATTCGGCAATTAAAACGATTTCATTCCGCAAAGACCACCTACCAATATTCTGTCGAATTCCTCTTTCTCAATACCCCGTCCGTCCGCCTGAGTCACTTTAATACGATTCTGTTTAAACCACCGTTCGTCCAAATCGTAAAAGTACTGCTCTAAAACGTTTAAGATTCGATTAACTCGCGACAGGCTGACGTCGTTACATACAACGCACTCCGGATAGAGAGTCTGAAGCGCGACGTAACTTTTCCCGCCCGGCGCCGCGCACATATCGAGAAATCGGTGTCCCGGTTTCAAGTCGAGCGCCAAAACCGGAAGCACCGAGCCTCCATCCATTACGTAATAGTTATAGACGTTGGTGAGATCGCGTTTCGGCGACTCAAACTTGGAAAAGTTATCCTCCTCGAAGCAGTAAATGTTTAGGTGTTCGGGGAAGTGGAGGTTGTACTCCTTTTCGAGTTTTGACGATTGGGCGGTCTCGTCGAAATATTTATAGTGTTGGGATTCGGGGATGAAATCTTCCATTCCCTTAAGTTTGGTCGCCGGTAGAAAGTGACTCAAGGAACTTGCGCTTGAACTATCGTTCGAGCTAACCAAGCGCGACGAGTCGATGACTGCGTTAGATAAGCTTGCCTCTAGAGAAGCGGTTGGTTTTTCTGCCTTCTCAACAGGCAAGTTCGGTTGTACGTCTTCAACTGAATCACTTTCTTGTTTAATTATATTTTCCAAATAGGCGAGACGTTTCCTTTTTTCTAAAGCCTCGTTAATATTATCCTTCTCTAGAGTGTATAAAGTACGCATGTTTAACGCTCCTGCATTTTCCAAAGCGGTCATGGTGGGCTCAGTGTCTGCGTAATTATTGAGCACGGCCACATACTTCTGCTTCCCCAACAGGCCTTTCCTAATATTCAACCACAGAGATCCGTATACGTCCTTGTAGAAATCGTCAAAGTGTTCGAGCGCTTTGTCGGTAGGATGAATTTTCTTACGGAGCACGGACTAGAACGATAAGTCGAAGAGAGGAAATAATAAAAAAGGAGCCTACCCAATGTGTTGCTTTGTGTTTACTTCGTATAAGTTGTTTAATTAAACTGTTTTTTGTATGCATTAATTTAAACATTTTTTAAAGAAAACAAACCTAATTTTAAGGTTATGTGACATGTGAGCGACCAACGTCAGTAGGTGCAACGTCACGAAAAGTCAATATGAACTACTACAAACCAGTGGCGTAGTTTGGACCTCAACAATACCTATTTTTGGTCCTAGCCTATTTATTTTCAATTAAACTTTAAAAGATTTGAAAGGTCTTTAAGAGCGTGTACTACGCTTAAGCAGTGAATTTATGGAACTCTCAAAGTCTTTAAGCGCCATACAAACTTTTAAGATCATTAAAAAGTCCTAACAGCTTTCAAGATCCTATAGAACTTTTTAAATATTTTATTTATAGTACCTTAGTATTTAAGAGCATTGCAGAATCTTTAAAAACGGAGCTTTTAAGAGGCTACTTTCATTTTCAAAGAGCGGCCGACTGTCGATAGATTAAATAAAAGTTTATGTAGAAAAAAATGGTGCCCTTTAATATTTCGTTTAGGCCCACCTACGTATCTGTTTACAGTGCCCTGGAGAGAGGAACCATTAAGACGACCTTGAGGTGCTTTTCAATGATTTATTATGCACGTTCAACAGCACTTTTTCAAAACCAAACGAAGATAGCGCACATTCTAGAGAAGACCTGGAAAAACTCAGATAGGGTAAAGAAACTGTGGAAAGAGCCTAGAAAATCGACACCAAAAAGAAACTTGACCACTGCGAAAAAGGATTAAAAATAAGATTTGGAAAGTTTTTGAAAGCTTGCTTTTTTAAACTCGCCTGGTTCTGAAAAGAGCCTGAAGAGGATAATTACGATCCTGGAAACTCTTCTAAACGCGTTCCAAACTTTTCACAACAATAAAAGGCGTTTCAGATCAATATAGGTCCCCCAGAGCATTCTACCACCCACTCAGAGTTCTTTTGCTTCTTTACAAAGCATCTTTGTTGCCTAGTGCAGCCCAGAAAGCCCGGAGATGGTGCTAAAACGCTCAGCAATGGCCGATAATATAGTAGAAATGACTACAAGTCCGAAAAGACGTAAGAATGCTTTGTCAACGCTTTAGCCAACTATGGAAAACATTTATTGGATCCCAGGAAGAAACTTAAGGACTTCCTGTAGCTGTCAAGTGCTTTTTAAAGTCTCTTAAATACATTCGGACGATTTAATTCCGGATGCTCTTCTAGTCTACTTTTCCTAGGCTCACTTTTTTCTGGAAAAGTGACAACCTAAAAAAATCTAAAGTGCTCTTTAAGCTTGTACAAGACCTCGGGAAATGTTAACTGGCTTTGGAAAGCTTTACCATGGCTCTGTTATTGTGTAAAAGAAAAATTGCAATTAATTGTTTTTGAGGTAGGTAACACAAATTTATGTTTTTTCTATGACTGAAACTATAATCGGCTTTTGAAATATTTTGAAAATTAAGCGATCAATTCTAAAAAAATGTATCCTAAAATAAGGGATTGGAACTGGAACCGAAAAGAACCGGTGCTGCAACCGAAACCGATTGCTCGCAGTATCCCGTATTTTGGTCGCACCAATGGAAATGTGAGTTGGTTCCCGCCATGGGCATCTTTTGCGATTAGTGTAGCCAAACGCCATTTTGGAGGAATTATTAGATGCGATAGAAGACGACAAAAATATGTAGTACATTAATTTTAATTAAGAGTACTCTTGACTTAATTTTTTAGGCAACCCATTTGCAATGTGTTTGTTTGCATATGAAGATTACTAAAAAAAATATATTTCACTCCATAGACAGATGATCTTATGTGGGATCTTACACTATAACATTTTCTTGGAAAATATGGACGTATACATACGTATGTCTATAATAGGTAATACATATAACCTTTGTTTATTCATTTATAAACAATGATATTAACATCATATTATTTAACAATTTTCTTCTGCATTCACTTGAAAAACTTTCATTTCAGTTTTCATTCATTCATGGCGCATTTGAGAGTCATTGTCTAGGAGTTAGAAGAGAAAGGAATGTATAAGAGGATTACTTACGTAAAAGGACAATTGCAATTAATGGGCACAACAAAAGGGAGGTGTACGCAGAGGTGCCACAGGGGTCAGCCCTTGGACCGACTCTGTAGAACATATTACATGGCGATGTTATGAGAATCCGTTCCAAAAGGTACTATAACGATTGTGTTATGCGGGCGACTTAGCCATACAGGGTGCGTGCAAAGTGTTGGAAAACTCAACGAGATAGTAAATGTCACCTTGCATGCAGTCAATGATGATTGGATAAAGACAGGCAAGTCTAAAAGTATCAGCGGCAATGACTGCAGCCGCAGCATAAAATGTGTAACGGCACCTAATGGCTAATAGGGGGGTGAAGATAGTCCACTAAGAAAAAGATTATTGTGGAAAACTTATTATTGAATATAAGTATGATATATTATACATTTTGGGAAAGCTCTTAAACAAGACAGCGAGAGAGGCAATGGAGAAAATAAAGAGAGAGCATACCAAACAACATAATCGAGCTAGTTAATTTGACTAGTACAGTTTATAACTAGAAGGAGTAATAAAAGAGAAAGAACTGGACTGGATTCTGGCCCCAAATGATTTCTATTTATTTTAATTTGTTGCCAGTACGTTCACTAAATATGTATATACACATTAACAACACGTACGCAAAAATTTGTCAAATGGTCACAAATTATAAAAGTAAAAGCACATTAAAATCTAAACATGGACATGCAAATACCATGCGATCAAAAATGAGTTACTGTCAAGTCACCTTTGGAATTTTTGTTTACATGGGAAATCGTACTTAACTTAAACTTCCAAAGGCGACTCGAAAGCAACTCATTTTTGATCGCCCGTTATATAAAATTTTTAGACATAAACAAATGGAAACAATATATAGAAGTAATAAAAAACACCTAAAAGACTTATTTTTTTCTTAAAAATTCAGCTAAGTGATAATTAGTTCACCAATTTAGGGGTTCAAAGGAAGAATTGTCCTTCTATTTTTAAATTTGCACTGAAATCACTTTTATTAAAGGTAGCAGTAAGGTGTGTTGCCTGCGAATGGGGACTGCTCATTTCACAGGTAAAAAAATGGACGGTATAAACACCTATATAGCTTCGGGCTTTATTACACCAAATTCAATTTAGTTTATTTTTCCGACTTTTTTTATTTAAAAAATTTAAAAACTCCACATTTTTGAAACGAATTTTATTTAGGCATAGCTAATGTCGACTGTTTGTTTTACCAAGTACAGGAGAACCGTCGAGTTCATAAATTAATTATAGAAATTCCAGAGGAGGTACCCAACTTCCACCTGTACGTTCTTTGGCATTTACTACTCAACAATGATGGCGTAGTCGCGTTTGTGCGCGTTCTTCTTCAAAGTTCGTAAATTAACCAAGTAAAACTGAACGTGTACGTTATTTTTGTATGGGGGAACGTCTTTAAGACGATTGCAGTTGCCTGGTGAGGGATAATAATAGCAAAAACGTCACATACGAAATAAATCAGTTTAAACGCCGCGGAGAGGATAACGCTTTCGATTTACAAAAAAAAAACCTGTAATTCGGGCGAAAAAGTGCGGATTTTTTCCCAAAGTTTCGTGCTGTTATAAGAAGTGCAAAGATGTCGATTTAAATCAAGGAGGAATGTAGTCTCAAGGCAAGTAAAATTTTGAAACGTTCCGCGATTAGGCCACTTGAAATATGATTAAAAATAAACGTTTTACTGCTATCTGGTTAATTATTATTAATTTTTGAAATGGGACTATGTAGCTTCTTTAAATTGCCGTATGTGACCCGATTTCTCGGAGTAGGTACCTTAACATATGCACATTTGCTAAAGGTCAACATGTTTAGAAGACAGTTTAATGTTTATTCTTTGGCTAAATTTAGTGAAATTTTTAATGGTCTGTTTAGTGTTGATTTTATATACCTTGGCGAGATCGCGGGAGCGCCCAAATTCGTACGTTAAATGTTCAAAAACTGTACCATTTGGGAGCCGCGTGGGATTTAAAACTGAATTTCTTGACACATTAACGGTTGCACGAAACTTCATATTTATAGTATATAAAAAGTATAGTACAAAAGATTTTGTTACTTGGCCAATTCTTTTAATACAATAAATTATTTTGAGCATTTCCGCTAAACAAATTGCGTTATTTTGAGTAAATTAGTGTGTCCCGTTAAAAGTTTTATTCCCCCGCGATGTGTTATAACAATTACACTTTTGTATTATAGTTAAGAGGTAACCGAAAATGTTGAAGAATACATTATTTTGCTTGCATTCCTTCACGCCAACATTAATTATGCATGCTTTTGTTGGTTTTAATATGGCCAACCTACCCACCGGTGCTTGTCATATTCAAAAATTCCCTCCGATTTCCAAAGGCGCGACCGCGTTTTAGTTTTAAATTAAAGAAATACCGTTCGTTTTCAAGAGGGTGCTCTGACTAAAAAGCGTTGGCGTTAATCTGAAATTCACTTACGCATAACCACGGCCAATTAGTCACAAATGAAGCCTTTAAAATTTGGCGCAGTTGTTCTCACCTAACGAGCACCATGTCATCCACGGGTTAAAGAACGAGTCATACATAAAAGTAGCACCTATAATTTATGTTCACACTACCTATTTGTGGGATATACACAGCAAAAAATTCTTTTGGGAAATTTAAAAATGATCAAAAAATGCAGTGTGTCACCCAAAGCTATTTCCGTTTTCTGTTTAAACGAAAATGGAAATGCTATATCAGATAGCATAAGCACTTGCACGGTTGTTAGGTACCTTTTGAACCATAGTCCAATAAGGGAAAGTATTCAAGTTTCAGAAAATATCGAGTAATATGGCACACACAAAAATAAAAGTTGGAAACTGTTGGTTTCAACAGGATGGTGCACCCACGCACAACGCTCTAATCGTGCGAGAATACCTGTCGGACAAATTTCTTGCAACAGGGAAAGTATTATGCCCAATATTTGATATGATTAGTGTTCTAATTAGAGTTTAGCCATTCATAGGTATATTTCTGTATCTTTATTGCTAACTTCATAAGAAATATGCAAAATTGATTGCTGGTCGCTAGTGCCCAAAAGTCGAGAATGTCTCAAATCTCTATAATAATAACAAAAGTCATACAAATTCGTCCTGAATACTGAAAACACTAGAACTCCGGCCGTTGAAGTAATAAAAAATAAAAATAGGGGAGACTGTTTTACCTAAGAACGGTTTTTTAAAGTTTTTTGTAGTAAACATTGACTAAAACTCGAGTTTCAAAAGCTAAGTGTAACAAGTATTTGCCCCTTTAACCCTTAATTGAAATCAATCAATATTGTTGACTCGAACTACTCTACTACTGAGTATAAAACAAGTATAAATTGTGCACTAACTCTTGCGCAGATAAGGGCATTTTTTTAAACCGAAATAGTTTAGTAAATGGTTGCGTTCTAAGGATGCTATGGTTAGCAGAAATTAATTCCTTTCGTTGAGACCTTTCATTAGAGTATGATGAAGGATAAAACAAGGTTTATCCCCCTCCCCTCCCCAACCCCCTGTTTTGATAAGGAGTCAGAAAGTAGGGCGGTAGTTGGTAGAAAACAGCTCCTTTTTTTGAGAACTGGAATACCATGAAAGATAAAATTAATTTCCTCCTCCTTCCACACCCCCCGCCCAACTACTGATCTCGAAAAGGAGTCGCGCACGAAAGTTATAGTTTTGTACAAACCAATTCATTTGGGTGATACCTTCGATTAGAATATCATGAAGGGTGGAACGTGTGTTTACTTCCCGCCCCCCCCCCCTTAAAAATTTTACTTTGCACCATTAAAGGCATGCGTATGCAAATTCTAAGACCAGCTGGTTGTCGTATGTAAAAGTTGCGCACGTTTTATATTCAAAAACAGCATCTCAGGACATAATTCATGGCTCCCACCCCCCTTCGGACAGCGAAAATTTAATGGCCGTCTGGCACAGCTTCAAGGTATAGATAGGCTACATAGGCCAGGACTTTGGGACCATTTCGCTAAAAGTAGTTCAAAACCGCAGAAGTGGGTCCGGACGGACAAAAACGCAAACAATTGCACTTTTTTTTTAATTGTTAAAAACAAATTTTTAAATTAAATTAGGTAGGTACTTTTTTCTGTAATTGAAATTCTATTTACAATGATATCACATATATGTTATAATTACCTTAGAAATTCTGCAGTAATGTTTTTAAAACCAATCGTAGTAACTGTGGACATTTAAACAAAAACAAAAGAGAGTTTTCTACTTGTCATCTCTGTCACAAAATCAGTTTAGTGAACATATAACTTATAAGAACCACAATGCAATAAAATAGTAATTACACAAATGAAAAAACGTTCAGAGGTATAATGTATTGTTGTAATGACAATGCATAGGACGCAAGTGCAATGTGTTTAAATTTGTCTTAAGTTATTAATTATTCCAGTAACTGCTTTTCATTTGTTTTCTTCGCTTCCTGTTGTAAATTTTATGTTTTTGTTTAAAATTCCACAGCTACTGCGATTGGTTCTAAACACATTATTGTAGATTGTAGCTTTAATTTCTAAGGTAATTATAACATATTTGATATCCTTGTAAATAGAATTTCAAGTTTTACAGAAAAAAGTAACCGTTCCATTTAAAAAAATTAATTTGTTCTCCGATGCCCTTTTGTTTTCATATCACTAGCATATAAACAAAAATTCGTCCATACAGCGTACTAGAAAATTACATTTATTATTTTGACAGCATAAATTAATGCTCCCGCCTTGACAAACTTACTTACAAATTATAGATGTAATAATCACAAAAATGAATGAACAGTTTTAATAAATGTTCAAATAAGCCACCATTCGCGATTAAACAATACGCTAATCTGTCATAAAACACTATTCTAAGATTGATGAAGAGTTATGCTAACACGCTGATTTAAAAAGGAAACCCCCTGTATACACAATTTATTACAGCGCAAACTATTTATTACTTGGGCGTTGAAATTGGAACTGACTGAATATTATATATTACCATTTTTGAAGACGCGCGATATTGCTTTACTGCCACGAATTTTGCACATTTTAAAATTAAAAATCCTACTATTTTGTGTAAGTTGTGCTGCGTAGGGTTCTTCTCCTGGATAGATAGTGCAATTCCAAATGCTTTTTTTTTTTATGAGTTTGGCATTGCAATTTAGATAGGTAGGTATTTTATAAAATGAAAAAAAACCAGTTGATCTGTAATGCACTCGTCTCCATCGACAGCGACGGTTTTGTTACATTTCTTATTTAACTATTATAATATACTGATTATACACAAAATTCAAAATTTAAAAAAAAACGTAATTTAATTAAAGAAGATTTTTTCAAAACGTTTATACAGTGTGTCCAAGATAAGAGTGAACGGTATGGATAAATCGGAAACCATAAGCGATCCACAGTCGGTTATATTAGAAAAAAAGGTGCGTATTTTAGGGGTTAGTAAAATAATCATTGTATATTTGTAAAATATTTAAAAAATATTCGAATTAGTTCCGAAGGTAATCGAAAAAACCAAAATTGACCATATTTTTTGCCGTATTTGAAAAGATATCAAGAAACAAATACCTAACACTTCTTCGTAGGCCCACAGATTTTCACTGCGACGTTTCGTCGTTGAGAAACTATCATCAACTTCATATTTTTATATGGACCTGTTATTCAATTGTTCACATTCACCTAAAAAATAATCACGTTGTGTCATACATCATTGCATTCATCGAAATAAAAAATACTTAAATTATACACAGTGTGTCCACGGCTTAGTCTCAAACTAAAATGAGCATACCGGGTGTTTTTTGCCAAACTGTCTTTATTTTAGCAGATATAACAAAAAGTATTAACGAATTTTTTCATCAGCATACTCATGAACTCATGTTTTTAACAAAGATCAAAGCAGGCTGAGTTGTATTAAAATTGAAAGTCTTCCATAACGTAATTCAAAACAACTTTCTTTAAATACATTTTTGTTATATGCTAAAAGACACTTCACTAATTTCTAAAATTCGGCAAAAAGCACCGTGTATATAAAGTCACTAGATATAGAAAGTACCGCAATCATCCGCCATTTTTGGGCAAATTTGCTGCCAACTTAAAAAAATTGACAAATAAAATCTGAATAGCTGTAATTTTTTATAACCTAACTTCATAGTACTCTCATGAGCCCAATGGATTGCGGTACTTTCTATATTTAGTGTCTTTACGTGTATATTACCTAGGCTGCCCTCTAACCTCATATCGAATTGACACTGTTTTAGTCTTAAAATGTTATTTATGTGAAGTTTTGTTTTAGTTGATTATAAAGGGGTTTTTATGGTTGGTATACACAATCATTATCATTAAGAAATAGCCAATAGAAACAAGGTGTATTGTACGTCGCTAACCAACGAAACCATACCTTTGTTTCTATTGGCTATTCCTTAATGTTCTAATGATAGTGCACTAATGATGATGATTGTATAAACCGACAATTACTGTTAAAAATTGACTAATAGAGCAAGTTTGGTAATAAAATTGTGTATTTTTTGCCGTATCTAATTTCCCTTTTAGTCATTTTACATGAACATGGATCTATAACGATGGCCCAAGCGACTTCAAGTGCCTTAAATTCTACTCTATGAAGTCTGGTGAAAAATTGACGATAGGAAGTAATTTTGACATATGTTTTGCCACTTGGTTTTTTGACCATAACCGAGGAACGGTGAAGCAATGTTAATTTTGTACGAAGAAACTGATCGAAATTTAATAAACATCATGTCGTTTAATTTGGCACATTGTTTATTTATTGGTGCTTGCTCCGTTTTGTGTTGAAATGTAATCAAAGGTGTTTTGCGATCCCATTAAACAAATTATTGTAGTTTTATTGAGTGCAAAGTCAAGCTTGATTGATTGCGACGTAATCGTTAAAGAAACATCATTCTGGGCGAGCCTCGGATAATTGGGGCCGTGCGAATGTAATTTTTGTCATTTGAACATCATTACGTAGTTCAATGATTCGAATTTCCTCCGAGGAGTGTTTTCGGGGGAGGGCATATAAAGAAAGGATCATAAATAGAAATCTACATACACAGATTGTGCCGGTACCGAAAGAACAATACAAATTTGTATATCACTGTCAAAAAAATTGGCAAGATTAGATTTTGGCAAGGGATCTTTTGCTATTGTATAAAGTTTATTTATAGATTTTTTCTTTTTTATAAATGATCGGTTAATGTTGTGTGTTTTCCAGTTGAGATGTCCGACACCGGATGAGTGGTGGAGGCGGCGACGGTGGGGCGGGTAGTGCGGCACTAAGAGCGGCGGCGAGCGTAGGAAATACGGCGGAATGCGCCAGATTGTTGGGCTCACTGAAATCTGTGCGGTTCTCAAGGGACGAATTGGGTAGGTCTGCATTACACCTAGCAGCAAGCGCCGGACATGGCTCGGTTGTACGGTTGCTCCTCAGTGTCGCCGCCCCTCGGGAGGTCGATAGTCCGGACGGTGCCGGCTGTACCGCACTTCAAAGGGCCGCATCCGACGGTCACGAAGAGGTGGTGAAGTTACTATTGGCGAGAGGCGCCGATGTCGATCGCCAAGACAACATTCACGGAAATTGCGCCATCCACGAGGCATCTTGGAAAGGATACAGTCGTACGGTTGCATTACTCGCGTCAGCCGGCGCCAATTTAACGAAAACAAACGCGGGAGGCTTCACCGCGTTACACCTCTGCTGCCAAAACGGTCACAATCAATCTTGCCGCGAGCTCTTGTTGGCGAACTGCAATCCGGACCTGCAAAACAATTACGGCGACACCTCTCTTCACACCTCGGCGCGATACGGACACGCCGGCGTCACTCGCATCCTAATCTCGGCGAAGTGCCGCGTATCCGAACAAAACAAAAATGGAGACACCGCCTTACACATCGCCGCGGCGATGGGTCGACGAAAGCTGACCCGAATCCTCCTCGAGGCCAGCTGCGACAAGACCTTGCGAAACAAGCAGAATGAGACCGCACGCGACATAGCTCTGCGGAAGGATCTCGGCGAGATCATCTCCATACTCGACGATGGCAGCTCCAAAAAGGAGAAGAAGCAGAAAGCCAAAAAGCGTTCGAAAAGCAAAGTGAGATTTGACGGTAAACCTCCAGGTGAGTTGTCTACGAATTGCGACTCGACAGTATCTTGGTGTTGTTTCAGTTGACGAAAACGCGGCGAAGAAGCATTGGTCACCGTACGGCTGCCACTACTACCCCGATCCCGAAGCGTTCCCATCACCCAGACTGGACACGCTACCCGACGAGCCCCTGAGGAAGGGCGAACAGTATTATTTAGACTTAGCCGGCAATATTTGTAAGGGACCAGTCGGCGTCGGATACACGTGTTATTGCGCGCCGTTGTTTAGGCACCTGGAGGCGCGCCTGGAGAAGGACAAGCGCGAGCTGCAGAGGGCGCAAGTCCGTCTGGGACAGCGGGTCGCCGGTCTGGAGCAGAAACTGAATCGGGGCGGACACGGGCGACACTCCGAGCGCGTGATAAACGCGAAGGAGAACCACGTTTCCACGTTGTCCAGATCTCGAAGTCTGGAGCTTCTGGAAAGGGACGAGGGAGGAACGTCGTTGCAAGTTACGAGGTGTGTTCCTTTTGTATATGCAGGGTGTCAATTTTAAAACTTGCAGTCGGCCATATTTTCCAAACAAAAGAAGATATTGACAAGCCCCCACCCCCCTGCACCCCCTCTTCAAAAATCCTAAATGGCAACCCCATACTTGTGACACATCGTTGGAAAGCTACTGAAAAATGCTTTCCAGTACTACCAATAAAGTCAATATTTATTAGGACAATTTAACAAAAATTTAATAATTAACAAAAAAAAATTAAACCATGCCTATGTTCAAAATTTGGTCGCTAAATTCGAAGAAACGGGATCTGCTATCAATAAAAAAAAGAAAGCAACCAAGATTGCTTAATGAAGCAGCTCAGGTTGAAGTTCTTAGCCAATTTGCCATAAATCCCTCAATGTCAACATTTAGGTTTTTTTTGTTAATTTTTAAATTTTTGTTAAATTGTCTTTATTGAATATTGACTTTATGGGTACCACTTGAAAGCATTTTTCAGTAGCTTTCCAACGAGGTGTCACAAGCATGGGAGGTTTGGGGGCGGGGGGGGGGGGGGTCGCTCATAACGTCATTCTGGTTCCCCCTCGATACCCCCGAAACGATTTTTCGCGATTTTCAATCTCTTCAATATCAGAATGGCGTTATGAGTGACAACCTCCCACCCCCTTAACACCCCAGCCCCCCTCCCTCTTCAAAAAACCTAAATGGCAACCCCATACTTGTGACATATCGTTGGAAAGCTACTGAAAAATGCTTTCCAGTGGTACCAATAAAGTCAATATTGATTAAAGACAATTTAACAAAAATTTAATAATAATAAACAGATTATTGTGCATTCTAACGACATCTGTCATTCTTATTAAAAATGGGACGCGAAACACAAAATAAAATGAAGTTCAGAACAGAAAACAATATTGTTTCCATGCAAACGAAGTCTAATTCAGAATTCTTCTGCCATAAAATAAAGTTCTGTAATAAATAAATAATCTTCTTTAGTTTGGAAAACATAGCCGACAGCAAGTTTTAAAATTGACACCCCGCATTTCACAGAATATTGCTGTTGTCTCAGTGTCTTTTGATAGATTCTTTCAACATGAAATTTTTTGCGGGTTGTAGGAGTATGGACGAACTTGAGCAGGAAGAAGCCAGACCGAGCGTCAAAGAGATCGTCGCCAAAATTCAACAGCAGCAGGCGGCCGCGGAGGTCGCGGGAGACAACAGCGAGAGCAGCGACGACGACGACAGCCCGCTGCGCATGGTCCAACACCGCGGACCGATGGGCAGCTCAAACCTGGTGATCACCCCGCCCGACCTAAACCCCAACTACGAAAACGTACCGAGCGGTCCTCCGCGCAGCCGGATGGGCGTGTACAGTCCGACGCTGACGGCCCCGAAGTCGAAGTACGTCGAACCGATCGTGCGCGTTCAGGAGCCGAACGTTCGGACGGGTCCTCGCGTGTACACGTCGAGTGCGTGCATACCGATGGGGTTTAGTGAAGTGAACGAGCCGAGCACGAAGTACTACGAGCGCGGCGTTAACACGAGGTTCGCGAAGTTGCGCATGATCGATTGCGCGAACCAAGGCGGCTCGAGGATGCTGGACTCGAATAAAATGTTCGAGAGTACCGCCAACATGTTGGAAAATCCGCACGACGTGATCGATAGAGATACTAATAACGACTCTGGGTACTCGACTAAGGTGTACGGTAGTTCTAAAGGTAATTCGCCTTGTTTAATTGGGCAAACAGATAATGATTGCCTTGGTGCATCCAGTTTAGTTTAGGAGGGAATTATATTTTTTAACACTTACAGGGTGTGTGAAGAAGTTGCAGTCAAATAATACAGGGTGAACGTTTTGAAAGGCGCGGTGTTTCCCATTTTCATAATCAGTATTAAAAGTCACACTAGCTCGTAGTTACACTAATGTCAAAATTGAATGTCCACCTATTGTAAATAAGCGTATAAATCATTAGTAGATATTTAGACAATTATGCATTCCATTTCATAAGGTAACAGCATCAGAGTGGCTAGTAGCTTATTTGAGATGGGTGCTAAAAAGTGCCTTAGTTACGATACGTAACGGTTTTATATAAAAAGAAAACTACCTGATATAATTTATAAGAAATTTTATATATGTTAAAATATTTACTAAAATTGTTATTGCTTATAAAATTTATATACAAAATCTCTGTACACAATTTTGGAAAATTATATTTTCTTATTCGTCGATCAACTTTTTTATTGCCCTACAACCTTTGGGAAACAAAATTTAAAAATAAAAAATGATTTTCTTCCAAACTTTCCGCACGGAAGCATTTTGTTGAAACCCAGTACCTTCCCTTCATTTATTTACTTCTCACGCTTCTCTTCGCTTTTTGTTTTAACAGGTGGTTCTGTTAAAATTTAAGAAGGAACAGTCCAGGGGTATGCAACTTTTGACATGTTTAATATAATCGATCGATTTGCCTTTATTGAAAGGTGCTGCTGTTAAAATTTCAGCAAGATCGGTCCATAAATAAGAAAGTTAACTACGCGCATGCGCAAAAGGATATGTCCCATATTGTTCTCAAAATTAATAGGTGTCGTCTCCAACTAGCAACGAATACGTCTGCAAAATATACGCAATTTGTCCCTTGAAATTTTGAGTTATCGTGCTAACAAACCGGACAACAACAACTGACTTTTTTCTGTGATAAAAACCATACCTACTTTACCGACCCATATATGATTGCGGAAAAGTATGTAATATGAAAATTGTTAGATACACTAATAATATCAAATTAATTGAATGCAGTAAATTAGGGGTCTCTCACTGAAGATCACAACCTACGCTATCTAGTGGTAGAAAAAAGCGGTTATTAAGCAATCCCTAGCATCTGTATACAACAAAATAAGTCACAATCAGGAAATCAAAAAACAATCGGAATTGCGGACGATCTGCAAATGTTTAGTCGCCTCTTACGACACGCAGTGCTCTCTGCGGTAGGAGTATTCTTTCCCGCCCCTACACGGGTAAAGGTTTCCGATCACAAAAGCGTATATTTACACTAAAATTAAAACTCCTTGAAAGTCTTGCTTTAATACACTATGTAACCCTCCACCCAAAAGAAGAACCTTTCTCAGGGCAGGGATGAAAGGCGCCTATAGGTGGAGAAGAACAGAGCGTGGTCAGACAATTCCACCCGCCACCAACGTCTACAATATAAGTAACAACAACAATAAAATAGAATACCATATTCTTAGTTGTTAAACAACACACGAAACATGTTTTATATTATTATTATTTTCTTTTGTCGTTTTTGTTCAATCGTCATTCCCATATGTATGTTAATCATACGCTTCTCATCATCATATAGTTAGTTTCATTCCACTTTGTTGATTAGTTAATTAAATTGGAGGGGTTAAGTGGAAGAGCAGATGTATGGTGATGTACCCCATCTGAACTGCGCCCCATTGGATGGTGTCAACATTATGTTTTGTTTTTTCTTCTATTTTGTTTTATATATATTCCATGTACTATCCAATAAAAGACAATTTATTATTATTATTATTAAAAAGGAAACAATTGTCTACGTTGAGCTAGCTAGGTAGGTTATTTAAAATATCTTCAATAGTTCTGAAAATATCGCAAGAATACGAAAATTTCTGATTTTCCTTTTTAATCTTTCCATAGTAAACTAATCGTACATATAAAATATACATAAGAAAATAATAACAATAGAGAAAAGAAATAATAGAAAGAAATACATACGAAAATTCAAAATGCATTTTTAGGGAAAATGTAATACTGAACCGCCATGTGTGATATATCGCTGTAAAGAGAAAAAAAAGACGTAATCTTAAAATCTCGAAATTCAAAATGGCGCCCATAAGAAAAACTAAAGTTGTCACGTGTTTCTCCGTCATCTTAAAAGTTATTTAACGGGATGCCATATTGCAAATCTTCATTAAAAAGTCTCTCAATAATATGTTAATTAGAAATGTCTAGCACAATTAATTCATCATAGCAAAATGTCTATTCCATTTCTTAAGGTAAGCAAGATCCCCAGAGGGGCACTCGAAAAAAGGACACAGTGTATACAGTGTTCATGTAGAAGTAGACATAGGGATTTCCTATACGAATGTCCTATGTCTACTTTTAAATGATAAAAAGTCTTCTGAAGGGCGCGCCTAACTTTATGCAACCAAAATAACTACCTACAACAAATGAAGATCTGCTTGTCATAATATAACCGCTTTCACTTCCGTATTCTAATTTTCGTTCGTGTGCGATGTATTCAACTAAAGAAAAAGTTGATATATCCAATTGGTACAGTGCCCATAACTAAGAGGTTTACTTTCTGTGAAGCCAAAGCAACAATATTCAAATTAAGTCAGATCTTTATTTTTTTCGAGAAGTTATTTTGGTTGCATAAAATTAGGCGTCTTTCAGAAGACTTTTTATCTTTTGAAAGTAGACATAGGAAATCCCTATGTCTACTTCTACACGAATATCACTGTATATTGAATTTACTTTTACCCCAAATATCTCCGCCATATTAATTTCTTGAGTCACTAAGTAGAAATGATGTCTATGGCGTCACTTGACAAGATTTATTAATTATTTGTAGCAGTCTCAGACATCGGGGCGCCAGTAGTCGCCACCAAAGTTAACCGGCGATAATGAACGGAAGCGGATGTGAAACATTCTTTAAACGAAATGTGATATGCCGACTTCACAGGTATTCGGGAATGTTCAAAATCTTTTTACACATTTCCCGTTTGCTATGTAAAGAAATTGAATCATGTTGAATGAAGTTCCAACATCGACGCCGAAGTGATCACGAGTAGTGAAGTTCGCGCTCGTATGTGATAAAATTGTGTATAAGTGAATGGTAAATAATAAATAACAGTTCAAAATCAATCCATTTCAGGACTGTTATAAATTCATTATCAATTAATTGTAAATAAATAAATCACGTAATTAAATTTACGTTGCAATAATTTAAAATCAAATTGCAACCTTTGGTTTTTTGTGTCAAGATTTATGGTTGTTTGATTTAAGTGTATCTCTTTTTTTAATAATAATAATAATAATTAGTTTACGAAAGAACGTAATTTTAATGCTTGTCCTAGGCGCTATTTGTGCTAGCTACGTCCCTGTTACGTTTTTAATCGTGGTAGATAGGTATTAAAAAGTATTTATTGGATTACAGCCGTTTGCTATACAGGGTGTCTTAAATTGAGTAGGATAATATGGCTATCTTTGTTAATATTATACTTACAGATTCAAACAATTTCTGTTTTTCAAAATATCGCATCGGAACAGCCATCAGCATCAAAAACTACACAACTTTAACCGAATCTGTAAGTATAATAATAACAAAGATAGCCATGTTTATCCTACTTCATTTAAGACACTCTGTATATGATCTAAGGGTACATATACAAAGTTAAAATATTGAGTGCCTAGCTATTTAACAATATTTTGAAATTGACTAACAGATCCATGTTGGGAAAATCTGGAGAAAACTGGAGTGGAGTGAATTTTGTTTATTAAAGTGGCCAAAGACCCAAAATATCAATACTTAAATTTATGTTATAGCAGTTGATAAATTAGGTTGAAATGAATAGGCTAAGTCCATCTTTAATGGTCGATTTATACAATCATTATCATTAACTATCATTAGATCATTAAGAGTAGCCAATAGAAAGGTATGCACAATAAACCTTTTGTTTCTATGGGCTATTTCTTAATGATCTAATGATGCTCAACTACTTAATGATTGTATAAACCCACCATCACACTAAAAGTATTCGGTCGCTCGCTTGTCCCAGTCATCCGCCGATTTTATGACTTTGGGCTATTGGTTCGTATGGAACTGTTTACACGGGGATACTTTTTGATTATCCCGCCATTGAATTGAACTGAAAATAGTTCGCCGAAAAAGGACCTCACTGCAGAAGAGCAGTTTAAAGCGGTCTAGGATAGATAAAGTCAAACAAATTATTGTGCATTCTAACGGCATCTGTCATTCTTATTAAAAATGGGACGCGAAACACAAAATAAAATGAAGTTCAGAACAGAAAACCATATTGTTTCCATCCATTATTTTTTTGTAAATGTGTGACGCTAATTTTGGTACCGGATATGTAATTTAAAAAAAAGAAACGTATAATCGTTCTCATGTTAGTAAAATAATGCGGAATCAAGTTTATTGTTGTGCAAGAAGTGTTTACTCATAGAATTTCGAGTTTAAAAAAAGTTGGTGTTATTAAAAACGAAAAATTAATTGGTGTAAAACAAGAGAATCTCTTAATTTGTTTTCCGATCGGCCGTTTGCAAACGGGGTTTGATGTATTCAAAAATCACTGATGTTACCCTTAAAATTCTCGTACAGGATTCATATGTGTATTTCATTTTCTTTTCATGATGTGTGCTATTTTGTAATTTTTGTGTCAATTTGAATTCCAATTTGAAATCCAAGTAATTTTATTTTTCTATGTCAGATTTTCTAATTTCTGTTTATCCGAATCTTATTTCCGATTTTATTCAAAATTTGGGCAGTGATTCCATTGAAATTTACAGAATTTTCAAGTTCAAGTTAATAAGAGCTTTAAGTCATTGTTATATATTATATATACGGGGTGTCAATTTTAAAACTTGCAGTCGGCCATATTTTCCAAACTAAAGAAAATATTGAAAATCGCGAAAAACCGTTTCGAGGGGGGTGGGGGGAGCAGAATGACGTTATGAGTGACAACCTCCCACCCCCTAAACACCCCAGCCCCCTCCCTCTTTAAAAAACCTAAATGGCAACCCCATACTTGTGACACAATAAAGTCAATATTTATTAAAGACAATTTAACAAAAATTTAATAATAAGAAACAATTTTAATAAACAAATTATTGTGCATTCTAACGACATCTGTCATTCTTATTAAAAATGGGACGCGAAACACAAAATAAAATGAAGTTGAGAACAGAAAACCATATTGTTTCCATCCAAACGAAGTCTAATTCAGAATGCTTCTGCCATAGGATAAAGTTCTGTAATAAATAAATAGAAGCCTTTATCGAACAAGCAATAAAACAAGAAAACGTTAAAACGTACTACTGTAATTAAGATATTCATTATGACTACAATTAAATTTATTATAAAACTCCGACATTGTCGTATGATACAATGGGATCCCTTTTAAAACTTGCGAATTAGCAGCATTAATATGGACCACTACGTAATCGCCCGGCTTAATCGTTTTAATTTCGGTCCCATTCACTTGCGGTATATCACCGATAGGAAATATAACTTTGCAATTCGAATCGTTACGTCCTTGCAAGTACAGCTCTGACCTTTTACTTACGCCCTCGACCAACACTAGGTGCCTCTCGCCGATCTGTGAGTAATTAACGCTTTTGACGATATTACGATAGGTGTCGACCATTCGCTCTAGCCTTGCCTGCTTTACGTGCGGCGGTACGTCATCTTCAAACCGCCGATGCGCCGTGGTTTTCTCTCGCATACTGTAAGGAAATAGGTACGCCATGTTATACCTAAAGACAACCATTAGAAGAACTCCAAGAGATAGTCGCCGATAGTAGCTTACCGTACGGTTTTGAGCAAAGAAATGGTATCGTCAAACTCCTCCTCGGTCTCCCCGCAAAACCCGCATATAAAATCGGAAGTCAAGGCAACATCGGGAACGGTCGATCTGACGTGGTCAACAAGTTCCAGGTAGCTTTCCCTCGTGTACCCTCGCCGCATTCGTTCCAGTACGTTCGAGTTGCCGGACTGCGCGGGTAAATGTAAGTTCTTGCAGACGTTCGGGTACGATTTTATCGCCTAAAAAAACACTCTCGTTACGCGGGAAGTCGGCCGCGATTCGACTACCTCCAAGACGTCGTCGGAGAAATCTTTCGGATGTGGTGATGTAAATCTTACGCGCATTTCCGGATCGATACTTGCCACTTTCTCGAGCAGGGTTGCAAAGCGAATGCCGCCCGCTTTGGGCTTGTACACGGTCTTAAAGCCCTTAACCAAGCTTGTTGTCGTGGTGTAAAAATCGCTACCTGTTACAAAAGACTGCATTGTTATTGAAATTAACGTAATAAGAAACATTTTTTGAATTGCGCTTCGAATTTATTTGATTTTTGATTTTTTCCTGAATTTGTGTCTTTATGTTGGTTTCCCTTAGCTCTTGTTATAAATGTTCCTAGGTGTTTTACTAGAAATCTTCGTGAAAATCTAGTTCAGAAAAAACTCTGAAGGTTTCTAGCAACCCTTAAAGAAAATTATATTGGTAACATTCTCAGGTCTCAGGTCTTCAAAACTTCTTCATACATTTTAGGATTTCCATGAAATCCAAAGGCTTTCTTGAGCTTTATAGATCCATTGGTCTTCCTTCTTACAAAAGAGTCTTCATAACTCACCAAATGTTTTCTTTAAAGTCACTAAATATAGAAAGTACCGCAATCCATTGGGCTCGTGTGTTAGAGAGAGAACGCATGATTTTTGCCCAAAAATGGCGGAAGTTCCCAGATTCTAGTAACTTTAATGTTAGGGATTGTTCCACCTGTTTGGAGATATCTGTATATATTTTTATAAAACATGACAGTACTATGAAGTTATAAAAATTGACAGCTATTCAGATTTTATTTGTCAATTTTTTTAAGTTGGCAGCAAATTTGCCCAAAAATGGCGGATGATTGCGGTACTTTCTATATCTAGTGACTTTAGTTTTCTTTTCAACAGTACGCCATCTATTCACAGACTTTAAAACCTCTAACAGACCTTTAAAAGATTTTAAGGGTCTTTATAAGGTTCACAAGAAATTTAGAAGAGAGTTTACCCCCTTTAGGGGCCTTCACAAACCTTTAGGAGACATTATTAACCTTCAAGGAACCTTTAAAAGCATTTAAGAGTCTTGGTCTTTGGTTTTTAAAAACCTAAACCTTTGTTAAATAGTTATTTATGTATCAAGGGCATTAAGGCGATATTTATACCGAGGGCGACAGAGCCCGAGGCCTCCGGCCCAAGGGATTGTAAGTCGCCCGAGGGTTAAACATCGAGTAATGCCCGAGGTGCATACAAAATTTTCTTTTTCATAATTTTTAAGAACTTCCAAGAGTCTCCAAAGTCTTCAACTTTCCATAATCTTTCAAACCTCCCTTCCGTAAAATCCGAGCGTTTAAGGACTTGGTAAGGCTACGAGAAAATTTACGAGCTTTACACTTTCGTAACTTGATCGCATCCAAACCCAAAAATATTATCAAAATTAAAAAATCTTATGTACAATTATGTGCAGATCTGGATTCAACAAGTTGAATCGAAATTTTCAAAAAGGTCACTTTGTATAGATGATGTTTCCAAAAAAACAAAAATATTACTCACAAATTCAAAAAAAATATCAAGTCAGTCTGCTCAATACTGAAACTGAGAAATTGTCTTTGTTGAACAGTGAAAAGTGCGAGGCGAAGCCGAGCTATGGACCCTTACAAATCAGAGCGAGGCAATAGCCGCCGGAGCCGAACGTATATTTTTGGGAAAAAAGGAAGGTTATACACTGCCTTTTTTTGAGGCACGAAAAAAAAATTGTCTAAGATCGACCCGGAAAAAATTTTTTCTTATAGAACGTGGCCTGTAGAATCCATAATTTCAAACAGTTCCAAGATTGGGCTACTAGTTCAAAAGTTACAGCCCTTTGAATTTTCTTTCGAAATGGGTTTCTAGTCTATAACTTTTGATTGAGAAGTCTGATCGAAAAAGTACGAATTGTTTTGGATTCTACGCACCAAAATTAATAAGAAAAGTGTTTTCCCGAGAAATTTTGGTGTAGTCGATTTTTGGTAAAAAAGGAAGGTTATACACTGCCTTTTTTTGAGCCCCGAAAAAAAAAATTGTCTCAGATCGACCCGGAAAAAAAATGTTCTTATAGAATGTGGCCTGTAGAATCCATAATTTCAAACAGTTCAAAGATTGGGCTACTAGTTCAAAAGTTACAGCCCTTTGAATTTTCTTTCGAAATTGGTTTCTAGTCTATAACTTTTGATTGAGAAGTCTAATCGAAAAAGTACGAATTGGTTTGGATTCTACGCACCAAAATTAATAAGAAAAAGTGTTTTCCCGAGAAATTTTGGTGTAGTCGATTTTTGGAAAAAAAGGAAGGTTATACACTGCCTTTTTTTGAGGCTCGCAAAAAAAATTGTCTCAGATCGACCCGGAAAAAAATTTTTCTTATAGAATGTGGCCTGTAGAATCCATAATTTCAAACAGTTCCAAAATTGGGCTACTAGTTCAAAAGTTACAGCCCTTTGAATTTTCTTTCGAAATTGGTTTCTAGTCTATAACTTTTGATTGAGAAGTCTGATAGAAAAAGTACGAATTGTTTTGGATTCTACGCACCAAAATTATTAAGAAAAAGTGTTTTCCCGAGAAATTTTCGTGCAGTAGATTTTTGGTAAAAAAGGAAGGTTATACACTGCCTTTTTTTGCCCCGAAAAACATCAAAACCAAAAATTGTTATCAAAATTAAAAAATCTTATGTGCAGGTCTGGATTCAACAAGTTGAATAGAAATTTATAGGAGAAGTTTCCAAAAAACAGCACTTTTAAGCAGGGGCGGCTCTCTATAAAGAGCCAAGGAGCCATGGCACCACCTCAACTCAAGGAATTATCAATTCTTAAAATATAATTAACTATTATTAATTGTACTCACTAGAGTACATAATTGTGTTTTAAAACTTAAAACAAAAAAAGTAAATGATTTGATAAATTAGGTACCAAGAAGAATTCATTTGTGCTTATCCGTGGACTTCAAATACGGTCGAGCCGTGCCAAACTGAAACTGGCTCGTATTTTCCTACAAGTGTGGACTTCCGCGGGGAGTAGAGGGGTGGGAGGAGCGAAACCGAAGTAGCGTTTTATACGTACAACTTGAGCCATCAGAAGTTTGGCTCATAAGCACAATTGAATAATGTGTACGTGTATTACTATGCTTTGCGCCGTTTTCCTTTTTTCAGTCGTGATAAATCAAACAATTTTTTTTTACTATTGTGTAAGATTACACTTCCCGGATTAATTGTTACGTAAAATACACAAATTAAAAAATCATTTAAATAAACCTTTTTCCATGCATTCTCCGAAAGATAGACTTTAATAAAGCAATTAAGCAGGCCGTCACCGGACTTAAATATTGTTAGAAAACGAAATGTGTCTGAATCTCTACAATAGCGATAAATCCGAAAATAAAGGAGTATTCAGAGAATTAATAAATTTCAGTACTTGTTTAGATAAAGATTTGAATAATGATACTTCGGCCTGTTTAATAAAACTACAAATAAAATGCTGCTGTTGTTTATAGATCGAACTAAACGCCATGGAAACTGATAGTACAAATCGTGAAAAAAGTAACACTTTCCATACGATTTTTTGTGAAAAAAATCCGCTAATTCTCATCTAAACACAAAATGAATAATTATTGGAATGCATACTTGAAGTATACTTATGAAACAAGTCTCCAAAGAAATTAAAGGGGCTAGATTTGTTTCCGTCACTTGCATTGTAAATATTCGAATTATACTCAAAATCTAAAGAACTGGAATAATATGAAAACAAAAATTTGTAGTAACTATTAAAATAATGGGGGGGGGGGGGGCACAATTTGGCACTACCTTCTACGCAGTTTACGAGCCGCCACTGCTTTTAAGCAAACTGTAAGGGTTGTTGTAATACAGGGTGCCCATTTTTCGATCTCCAACATGAGGATCTCGGTTATGTAGTTCAAATTCGGGCAAATTTGCGTATTTTGGTGTCCAATAATTTGCCATTACGAAAATTTGGACATGTTCAGAGGTTGCCGAGATTTTTGAAAACACCTCTTTTATTTCAAAAACGGCAAAAAGGGGACGTTTGAGACTAAAATATTACTAAAGCACTTTTTTACGATGAACCCAAATATGTTATCGGAAAATTCAAGGCACTCTAGACTTGGAAGTTACAGTAGATAACTTGTTTATCCTTATAGCAACCATATTGAATTTTTTTAATAAAGTTCGTTCTTCTGATTACAATGATGTATCATATGATATGTTTCAACTTTAAGAACCTTGTGCCCCAATCGGCGTCTCAGTTGTGAAAAAACTTGATATTGAATTTAAACGAGAAATTTGGGAGGTCCTATCTTACTACCCATATATAAGTTATTCGTTTTGCTGATTATATTGATGTATCACAACCTATATTTTTTTATATAATTATATATGTAGGTACTAGGAACTAGGTATATCATATTTTTCAATTTTTTAAAATGACCTGTTTCTACAGTCAACCACTTTTATTGATTGCTATCGGCTGTGATGGATACAATAAGCAAAACAAAATCTCCATGAATCCATGGCCTACTATTTAAAAACTGTAAAAAATAAGGTTTTAATTTTTGTTTAATGGATAAATTAAAAAAAAATAGGTTGTGATACATCAATGTAATCAGGAAAAAGAATACCAAAAAAATTGACGTTACGATATACATACAGGGTGTTGCATTTAAACAATACCAATTAAAATATTTATGGAATTCCATGATTGTAACTTGTAACTATTTATTTAATTTCTCTAAATTTGCATTTTTCTCGAAAAGTAAGCATCAGTGTGAAAAATTTTAATTACAAAAAAGGTGTGCCTTGATCAGATCTACCAAAAAGTCTCACACACTTTTTGTGTCCGGTTCAAAAAAAAGGCGCCAGAGGGCATTTTCTACATGTTGTACTATGACCAAAGATAATTGCAATGACTAAATTAAAAGTAGTCAGAAAGTCAAGTCAGGAGTTTACCTGACAATTAGTTTTTTTTCCCATGTAAACAAAAATCCCAAAGGTGACTCGACAGCAACTCATTTTTGATAGCATGGTATAAATTATAGTGTAATAATTATAAAGTACCTTCAGATAAATCACGATAGCTATTCACGTTTTGGCCAAGAAGAGTTACTTCTCGCACGCCCCTGTCCGATAGGTAACGAACCTCGTCCAAAATCGAACTTATAGGTCTCGATCTCTCTCGTCCTCGAGTAAAGGGCACGATGCAGTACGTGCACATATTATCGCAGCCTCGCATGATAGACCTACAAATAAATCGTCATTATTGGTACACGAAAATCTCTACCTACACAAATGCCGTAACCGCATTCTCATTCAATCTCATCGGCATCACGTCGGCGTACGTCTCGTCGATCGACAGCTGCACGTTGATGGCAGTTTGATTGTCATCGCTCAACGCGAGTAGACGTGGCAGATCCTTGTAACTATCGGGTCCGGCTACGACGTCGACGGTCCTCTCGCGCTCCAGCACCTTATGTTTCAGCCGTTCCGCCATGCACCCCAATATACCAATTTTCAATGTCGCGCGATCTTTCCGTCTCTTATTACGAATTCCTTTGAGATACTCGAGCCGATTCCAGATCTTCGTCTCGGCACCCTCTCTTATCGCACAGGTGATCATAAGAACGACGTCCGCCTCGTTCAAATTGCGCGTTTTAAAGTAATTGTGTTTTTTTAAAATCGACCAAATTATCTCCGTATCGTTTACGTTCATCTGGCAACCGTAAATGTCGAAGTATACCTTACGGCACTTTCCCATCGCTGGCATATTTTGTAAGTAGGGTATTTCGGGCGAGTCAAATTCCTTGTCCACCCTAAGATTGTCATTTTGGAAGAAGTCTTTTAAGGAAGGACCGTTCAGGAGAGTTTTACGAAATTTCGTAACTGGCGTTTCCTTGTCATCGTCCTTTTGAATGTTAGAAAACGAAGAACAGAAGCACGATGATTTATTAGTGAAGAGAATCCGTTTTAACTTTCTAATTTTAATAAATCTCAAAGACATTTTGTTGAAAGGGTTGTAAAGAAGGTCAGCTTATAGGTTAAGGTTTTAGGTTAGTACATTCGAGCTACTACAGTCCAACTGTTTAAGTGTAACTACTATAACGTAGGTCCAATGACAAACTTTGTTTATATACAGTGCAAATCGAAATAAATACATGTAAACAACTTCAAAAGCTTAAAAAGACGGTAGTGGAAAAAAGGAGTGGAAGAAACAATATTTGATCAACCTTATAGGAGTTTCTTCTTATTTTGTCATATACATTTACAGTGTTAAGACAGAGATATATTTCTGCGGTAGGGATGGATTGTTGTAAATAATATAAGTAGGAAGTATAGGAAGACAAATGTTGCAAGTATTGTTTTGCAAAGTAGTCTACTAAGCAATACGGAATTGCAATGTAACATTAAACAATATCAGTGACCTGTCGTGATCCTAATGTATTTAAACACATACAGAACCAAAGCAGTACATTTGACGTAGTGACTGCTGTGGTCTTGGTGTATTTAAAATTCAAATAAGAACTCCCAATGTTTATAGGCCATCTACAGACGAACTACAAAACTAAGTGTAGGGGAAAACGTTTCCTACAAAATTGTATTATTTTCCGATGTATAAGAATATTCAATACAAAGTATAGATCGGTTTCTAATGGAAAAATTAAGTTGCCCCACGCTTGACTCTTAAGGGACAGTCATGTGGAATATGCATAGCATCATTAAATGGCCCCCTCCATATAGACGATTTTATAATAATCACTTTTGATATCACCGCTAGATTCCGCAATAATCAACAGTCTGTATATAAATTAAGTAACATTGATTAAAATATAAGATTACCATTCAAATAGTGAGTGATCGAACAAATCAAGAAATGATTATGGTGTACAAATTAGTGATGCTAATCATCTATGTATTAAAGACGTACATATATGGTGCAAATATTCCCCACATATATCAAATGTTCGTGAATATTGTCAATGCACTTATTCAGTTTGTCTGCACTTGCAGAATGCTGCAATGTGTATTTGTTTATTAAATGCTATATTTATGTTCATAAATATATCTATAATTCTAATTTTTTCAATTCTGATCCAATAAGTAGATTTATAAACAAACATTTTAAAATAAAATACTTAATTTAATAACCGCTTTCGCAAATACTTTTCAATTGGGCGAACAGAAATAAGACTCAAATACTTCAGCACACAAAACCATAAAACAGATTTTGTAAGGGAAGTAATGATTTCAGTTTGTAAATTTTTTCATATTGGGGTTTCTGGTTTAATAATAGGAACCGCATGAATTCGACCATTTAAAAAAATAAGTTTAATAAATAAGTAAAAATTTTGTACAAATCATTTATTTAAAACGTCCTACAACCTTAACGTGCAGAAACACTAACTTGCCATACTCTAATAATATTGTCAGAGTAACCGGCAAAAAGAGTTTGCCCGTCTGTAGACCAGGCAAGCGAAAGACATTGTGGTGGTTCGGCTTTGCCTGGTTGTGAAACTACCTCTGGTCTCAATTCCTCAACCATTTCCTTGCTTTCCAAATCCCAGATCTTAATTGATGGGCCAAATGCGGCGCACAGCCAATACCTACAAAATGCACGCTCGTTAATAAACTGCAACTATAATTAATCTGCACAGATTAGCAAAGCAAGGTCAGTCCCATATCCGTAAAAATAACTCTCACAGACTTTCAAGTAAAAAAGTTATAATCATTCCCGAAGAGAACAAAGCAATTTTGTACTTTGCGAAATCATACCTGTTTGGCGAAAAGCAAAGTGCGGTTATGATATCGTTATGGTCCAAGGTGTGCAGGTGCTTGCCATCGTTGAGATCCCACAGCATAGCCTTACAATCTTTACCGCCGCTCGAACATAAACTTCCGTCCGGCGAAACTGTGATCGTGTTCAGATATCCCATATGTCCGGAGTGGTTGATCTTCAGCCGGCAGTTTGTAAGATTCCACACTTTCACCATGCGATCCCAACCGCACGAAATAATAATCGGGTTGGAATGATTCGGGGAGAACCGTACGCACGACACCCAATCGGTGTGACCCTCATCTTGAATTGTGTATTTGCATTCGGCGAGAGTGTTCCACAGTTTAATAGTTTTGTCCCGCGATCCGGATACGATTTGACGATTATCGACGGAGAAGGCGACACTTAGCACATCCTGCAAAGAGATCCGTGTTAATCGCAATTATACCGGCAGCCGGTGCGATTAGAGTGTGGGGAAATACTTACAACCGGCCAACGCAAATGTCTTCAGTCGATGCGACGCAAATTAATAAAAAAAAAAATCTTCTCGCTGTGCGTTTAAAGTGGTGAAAAATGTACTAGCGATAAATTAAATCTATCAAACCTTTGTGTGATCTTCGAAGCGACGTGTGGTTCTACCCGCGGCCAAGTCCCAAAGACGGAGAGTCTTGTCCCACGAGCCGGATAAGGCGTAGTTTCCATCGCTTGACAGAACAACATCGGAGATGAAATGGGAGTGACCGTGCAAACGTTTCTGGGGGACACCGTATTGGGTCTCCTCGCGAGTCAGTTTCCATACAATCAAAGTTTTGTCTAAAAGAAATACATGCGGTGGTGAATTGCCTCTCCGGCAATCGTATGCGAATTAGGATGATGAGAAATCTTCCGTCGATTCGGCGATGAACGATGGTGAAAAAAATACGAAAGACGCTTACCTCGAGATGAAGACAAAATCATGTCGGGATATTTTGGATTCGTCGCAATTTGGGTAACCCAGCCATTATGGCCCAGCAGCGTGCCCCGTAATTGTAAAGTCTCGGTCATTCTTTTTAAAAGAAAACTAAATTAAATACACAAAACGTGCTAACCCTTGCAACGTTCGCGATTGACAGAAGTGAAAAGGAATTAAAGGAAAGGAAACGGAACAGAAATGGATGTTATCGAAACCGGTACTATAGATGGCGCTGTTCACAGCGTTGCGCATTATCCATTGTTGCCACTGTTACATCCAGAAAATTGAATGTACAGGATGGTTATTCTTTTATTGATGTCTTCACATTCATTATAGCTGACTCGTCCGCAATTTTGAAGTCAATTGACCGTTGCATTTTATCATTGAAAAAATATTGATTTTTTTTAACGGTTGCATAAAGGTAAGACCGTTATACCTTTGTGTACAGATTTAGACTGTCAGTGAGCTCCAAAATGGCCATTGAACTATAAAAACAACGTAACACGAAAGGAAAAATAGGCGACAAATGCGTACCGTTCAAGCCGTGCGACAGAATGAGGTGGTATAACTATTTCAGTCACTCTCATCGCGCCCAGTTTGTTTATTAGCACGCCTGATAGAAGCAGAAAATACGACTGTATGAATTAAAGTGAAATAGAAAAATTAAGTCAGTGAATTTAATGTTACTAGTGTGAGAGAGATAAAGATACTACCACTCGTCTGGCTTCACTAATAATTTGCTTGTTTCCCTTCCAGTTACGAGTATATAGTTCAATGAAAATGGAAGACAAGTTTGCTACCTAATATTCATTACTAGTTCCTTGTCCTTTTCTCCACACGACGTAGAGTTTCGCAATTTATTTCATGAATACAAAATCGTATGCTTCCTTGTTTCTTTTGCAATGCATACACTCAATCAATTCAATACAATCTTCCACCGAAACGCAAAGTGTTAGGACGGTTTCCACACAAAATTGAACTTATTGTATAAATCACCTTTTTGACATTCTTTTGACAACAGATTTTAAAAGTAATCGATGCTTAATAAAGCTTTAAACATTTGCAAGAGCGTTTAAAGGTTTTTCAGAAACTTTACCAGCCTTTACGAAATTTTAAGAGGTTTTAATATTTAAAAGCCTTTATGAACCGTCTAAACTGAACTCCTTTTACTCTCTTTTGTAATAAAAAAAGATACGTACGGTGTCAACACTTTTTCTCGTGCACGAATAAACAAACGCAAAACGAAAAAAATTGCTGTGACCAGCAAAGATACCACCCACACACCTCCGCATGCGCGATTCTACCCTTTTATGTCTTATGTTTTATGTATGTACCAACTTTGGTTCCAATCGGTTCAGCCGTTTAGTCGGAAACGAGAGTACAAACGGACCGACAGACAGACCGCGACATCATCGAGATTTTGTTTGATTCGGATTTCTGGTACTTCAAAACATGTATTTCCGTCAAAAAAGTGGGAGGAGGGCATTTTTTACCCCAATTCAATACCTCCCTTACTATAACGTGCGGGTGGTAAGAAAAAATACCGAAAAGCGTACCGGAACCGTTTGTTTTTTCAGAACCGAATCGAAACCTTCGCTTAAAAAAAATTACTCAGAACCGGAACCCACTATTTTTTTACGATTTTTACGGTTTTTTGACTTTAGAAGTTAAACTCAGTTTTCTGGCTATGCGTGCTGCTCGAGAAACGGTAGGCGAGAATTTAGCCAACACAGAAAAAAGTGATGTGTTTAGAAATTTGGGCATGAATAAACACTCGCATCCTGAATTTGTAAAGTTATTCAGTAAGCCATTATGGACTAAAAAAAATGTACCGTATTTCCAATAGGTGCGGACCGTTGGAATCGAAAAAAAATCGAAACCGGAACCGCAATTATTTTTAGAACCGAAACCCGAACCGGAACCGTTATACATATTTTTTCGTCAAAACCAGAACCGTTATTTTCAATAGGTCCAGATCCCTGGCCCTAAGTCGGGCTGGTACAACCGGGCTTTTAGAAATTTTTCCCAACCCTTAAATCTTCTTAAAGACCGTTAAATGCACTTAAAGCTAGTATAATGGCCGGTCTTCACGATTAGGGTGCGTTACCTTAAAAGCTCTTAAAGGACTTTCAAGAGCTCCTAACTTTAAGAAGATTACCCTTTCAATCTTGAGGTATAAAAAACTTTCGATAGTCCTTTAAGAGACACTTTGAAGATCTTCTGATCCTTAATTGTGCCTTGAAATGTTATTATTAGCAAACCTCAGCCTCCCAAATAATACCTATAGAATGAGTGAAATCAAAACTACTGTAGCGAATTTTCTAGATCCCGCCATAAAGTCGGATGTGACTCATTCCTTCTATGAAATATGATATGGAGGTTCGAGATTTCTCTAGAAGCTTCTTGTTTGCTATATACGTAAGCAGATTAAACTGTGTTTAGTCTCAGTTTTATGCTCGACTGTCATAAATGTGTCTGTAAGTAAGTGACAAATATTGAATTTGTTAATAAATTTGTCAATAACTAATTTTATATAAATAAATTTACGTCACACTATTCCAGAACGTTCCTTGAATAAGGTTGTAACAATCGCAGTTGCCGCGTGTCACCAGAACGTGACATTTCACATATTCTTTGGAAAATGCAAATCTCTCCAGTAGCAATTGTAATGAAAACCTTTTCACCGGCTCTTCCCGCACCCCGCCATTCGGTTCAGGTACCTATTTTCGTATATTCCCGCTCTTCGCGTAGTACGCAAAGTAGCCGTCAGATGTAAAACGGGTAAGGAGTGACGTCAAAATTGTTCGCAGCCATTTTGATTAATAGTGTTGTTTTGTGTGTAGCGGAGCAATTTTGGACGAAATGTTTTAGTATTAATAACATTAGAACAAATAAATTAGCACAAATACGCTATTAGTATTTATTTCAAATTATATTTTGTGTTTGTTAGCTGAATAAAATGGATGAGAAAGCGGCGTGTAAAGAATTAGATCAGTGGATTGAACAACTAAACGAATGTAAGCAACTAACAGAGAGCCAAGTAAAAACTTTATGTGATAAGGTGAGTCACGCGCAACTTTTAAAACTGATTAATTGCAATTTCGTAATTCGGTTTTTTTGTTCGATAATTTAGGCGAAAGAAATTCTAGCGAAGGAATCAAATGTACAAGAAGTCAAATGTCCGGTGACGGTATGCGGCGACGTCCACGGCCAGTTTCACGATCTCATGGAGCTGTTTCGGATAGGCGGCCGAAGTCCCGACACCAATTATTTATTTATGGGCGACTACGTCGATCGCGGCTACTACTCCGTTGAAACTGTTACGTTACTAGTGGCGCTTAAAGTTAGGTACAAGGAAAGGATTACGATATTACGAGGCAATCACGAGTCCAGACAGATTACGCAAGTTTACGGGTTTTACGACGAGTGCCTGCGGAAGTACGGCAACGCGAACGTGTGGAAGTTTTTTACCGACTTATTCGATTATTTGCCGCTTACCGCCCTCGTCGACGGACAAATTTTCTGTTTGCACGGCGGGCTGAGTCCGAGCATCGACACTTTAGATCACATACGAGCTTTAGACCGTTTGCAAGAGGTAAGTTGACTCCCTCCCAGATATTGTGCCATAAATTCGTACTCAAAGATTCATGAAAATCTAGGAAAATATCACCTTGGCATACATTAGCATTTGTTTCTGTCAAATCGGAGCCAACTAAGTTAATTCAAGATGGTTCAGAGCTTCACTTGAGTGACATACGTGGTCTTTCAGGTACCTCATGAAGGTCCGATGTGCGATCTACTCTGGTCCGATCCCGATGATCGCGGAGGATGGGGTATTTCGCCCCGCGGCGCCGGATACACGTTCGGGCAGGATATATCGGAAACGTTTAATCATTCGAACGGTCTGACGTTAGTGTCGAGAGCGCATCAGCTGGTGATGGAAGGTTATAATTGGTGTCACGATCGCAACGTCGTGACTATATTCAGTGCTCCCAATTACTGTTATCGATGTGGTAATCAAGCTGCTATAATGGAACTAGATGATGCCCTTAAGTATTCATTGTAAGTTAATGTCCGCTGAGGGGTTATCCACCACCTTAAAATATGCACAGCGTACACCAGTTTAGCATTGTTTGATTTGGGGATACAAAATTGTTCTGGGATAAAATATTCACCTTCCCAATATTGGAAGAAAGTTCATGGGATGCGAGGATCATTTGAAAATTGATATACAATATGTAAGAAAAAACTGGGTGGGAGAGGGGATCAATCAAATAAAATGTAGCCTTTCAAAATTTATGTTTCAATCTGTTTGACTAATTTTTTGTGTATTTTGAAAAATCTCCCACAATTTCAGACAGACCGAATTGATGATAAATTATTTTTTGCTCGCGGAATCAGCAATGCAATGTTGTGGTGGACAACTCCTCGACTATTGTCTAGTTCCGTGACTAACAGATTTTGTTTACAGTTTACAATTTGATCCAGCGCCTCGTCGTGGAGAACCGCACGTAACACGCAGAACGCCCGATTATTTTCTGTAAGGTTTATATTGCAATATCATCAATGCTTAGGTATTACTACTACTACTATTGTACTGTTTGTGTTGAGACATCTCTTGTAGTGTGAAAAATAAAACAATTTAATGTGTCTGTTGCTCTAATATTTCGTTTAAAACAAAGCTCTGGTTTTAAATTAAATCTTAGAGGTGTTTTTTACATGGTGCAGTCGAGACTATAAGAGATCTAACGGTTTCCCAGTGCGATCAAATTATATACATAAAAAGGAAGTAGATATAAATGTACACTAGCTCTAATTTGATGTTCAAAATAAGTTTTGTTGTATCTCCTGGACGATTAAGTACGCCGTCACGTTTCCGGGGCGAGGGGGGATGGGTTTATTGTTGATCAAATGTACGCGAGGTGTTGGCACGCATTAGAATAACTATGTTAATTAAATTTGTTCGTCTTATTACATGCGTTCGAATACTTTGTAAAACCACTGTAAATTATTGTGGGGGGGATGAACAACAAAATTTATAGATTAAGTACGTAACTATATTATATAATCTGTGTATCTCTAGTATTAATTGTCGAACATTGGCATTTTTTTGTGTTTTGTGTTGGAAGGTGCCAATGTTCGGAGTCGCCATTGCTATCTTTCTACGCTACGTGTGTAATATACCGCTGCTCCTCAGTCTACTGTTTGTCTGCGTGTAAACTACGTCCTTATTCCAAATTATTTTCATTTTTTAAGACTGCTCTTTTATTTCTGTCATAATAAAAATCTAACTAAACGTTGACTTTTATTGCTGCAGTGATAGGTCACTTCAAAAAAGATCAAAGCCTTTTGCCTGTATGTACAAACACGTTCTTAATGCTGGTTCATTTGTAAAAGTTGTAATTTATGTACTGCTTTTATTTGACAGTGGAACTTGAATAAATTTTGTTATACAGTTGAACTTATAATTGCTCAGACAGATGTGCCAATTCTTCGCCCCTTACCTTTGTTAACTAGTAAGAGTGGGTGGTTGATGGTGGCAGTATAGGGCAATTTTAAATTTGAATCGTTCCCGCTCTTATGCATTTCATTAAAGAAGAAAAACGCTACGCCACTGGAAACATGTTGCCGCGAATCGTAACAATTCAAATTGCACAAGGACAAGAGTTTCATAGGTGAATTCGCTTCAGGCATAAACCGTGAGGTAACGGCCGTTTTTGTCTGTCCGAAATTTTCTCTACATAGGTTAGAACTAGCGTGTAAACGCAACTTCTGTTGAGCAGTCCAATCTTTATGAAATTTTGACATTGAAGAAACCGCAAGGGAACATAGACTATTCTATCACAAACCTGGAAGTGCACAAGTTGAATGTCGAAGATTTTGGCTACTCCAATCATACAGTGCCATTCCTTTAGAAGTAGACATAGGAATTTCCTATGTCTGCTTTTAAATGACAAAACTGCTTCTGAAAGACGCCTAATTTTATGCAACCGAAATAACAAGCGCACGCATTTTGTGTAGATTTTACTAAAAAACAACAGTAAAATAGCAGGCTTTTAGGTTATGAAGAGATATTAAATTCGGCCGATATTTCCCTTAAGTTTCTTATGGGATTCTCTTCCACAAAAATTAAAACATTCAGTTTCATATACTTTACGGTGCCTTATGTGGATCGCATTTGAATAACCCCTAACTTTAAAGTGATCAACACAGAAAATAAGTCTCTTATTATGAAAATAAAGATATGAAAAAATAATCCAACTAATTAATGACAGCAAAATCTTCATTTGTTTTAAAGTTATTTTGGTTGCATAAAATTAGGCGTCCTTCAGCATAGGAATGCCTATGTCTGCTTTTAAATGAATATCACTGTATATGGCTCTACTAATGGAAGTGCAAATTATTGGCCATACAGAGCAAACCCACCAGAGCACCATAGATAAACGACATTTCAACGATTTTGGAATCTTCGAGTTTCTCAAACTTTTTATATCGAACAACTCATCACGTGCTGCTAACACATGCACTTTCAATCGATTTTGGGGGGCATTTTGTGTGGTTCGCTTTCCCTAAAACCACCACCAAAACCACAAAAATCTACGACCTCGAATATTAACATTCAGTATACTGAATTAAACCAATGATTAAACCGAGAATTGAACAGAGTTAAGTTAAGACGTTAAACTTTGCATTGTACAAGTGTAGGTATACTATCGGACTGATTCAAATTCGAGGGCCACCATGGGGATCTTGAAAAAGAGATAGGCAAGTAGTTTCAATTTGGCAAAGTTGCGTATTTTGATCCTTAACAAAAAGCCGCTTTGAAACTGAAAAAATTCCGACTACTTTCGGAGATATTCGGAAAAAAACGAAATTTTGCAAATTCGTTTTTATTTTTAACTGAAGTTATTTAAAATTTAAAAATATTATGGTCACTTTCCTCTACAAGATGCTAAAGTTTTAAATTTTAAGTATGACGTTTCGTGTCTGGTTATAACCATCCTCAACTTTGATTTTTCTTATGGAAGCCATTTTTACTTTTTGTGCATTTGATAGAGTATTTTAGGTCCCACAAGCCAGCAGAGCCATTTTAGAAAAATGAAGGACGAAATACATCAGAATTATAGGCTGATTTATAGGCCCTTTTTGGACACTTGAACAAATTTTCAGGCGGCATCCTTTAAAGAAAAAAACTATGGCTCTGCTGGCTAAAGACGAAGCTAGCTGATCACTTGTGAGATTTGCTTCGAAGGCGAAAAATTCAGATCACAAAATTATAGGCTATTTTTATAGGCTTTTTTTAGAACGCATGTTTTTTTGCCCAAAAATGGCGGAAGTTACCAGATTCTAGTAACTTTAATGTTAGGGATTGTTCCACCTGTTTGGAGACATCTGTCAAGTAGGTATTTGAAATCTGAATTTTCTTTTACTATAATAAATCAAATATATAGCAAGTTGTTGTGTTCAGGTTTTAAAAAAAGTAATGTTAAAAGTGTCTTAGTTCATAGTTGTCTATGCATCTTCTCTAATACTATAGGAGAAGAAAAGTTGAAACGATATTCCCGCCTTCATTTTTTATTTCTAATCCACAAAGTACATTAAAAATAAAAAGACCCGTGTGTCCTCAATTTTTATTTGCGAGTAAAATAAACCCAAAATAAATTATTGAAAAGCTGTGTTTTTAGTCCGAGTGCCTGTGACAGATGACGCAAGTTATAAATGCCATTCTCCTGCAATATTGCCAAGTCGTTACGTCATGTGAATGGTTCTAGGAGCTGATTGGTCGGGCTTATTACGTCACAGAGCCCGCCACAGTCATATCGTTTTGAATAAACCTTTAAAACCGCACATGTTCATTATTTTTTTGCGAATCAGCCTCTATTTTTAAATAAACTTTTACTGTCCAAAAAAATGTTTTATGGTTTCAGGTACACGCTTATTAAATTAGAACTGCGGAATTCAACTATACTGTAAACCCCCATTGGAAAAAAGTACAAAAAAAATTAAAATTATTCGTCTCATTATATTATTAACGAACCTCGAGATCGTTTATAATTTTGTATTGCTGCCTGTCTGTACGTCTGTCTGTCCGTCTGTCTGTCAGGTGTGTACGATAACTATGTGTAGAAACGTCCGATCGCTTTAAAAATTGATGTTCTTCAGGATATAACAAAGTTCGCAATTGTTTTTCGGTTACGTAGACCAACGGGCCAAAAAGTTACAGACCAAAAACTGCGCAAACCTCCAAAAAGGGTTTCTAAAACTCTTTTTACAAAGAACATATGAATGTCCGGTTTTCTGTGTTAGTAAATATTCCTTAAACTTCAGGCAACTATGCAGATGCAAACAAATACTGCGCATGCGCATAACAACTTTTGTATTTGCGCAATCCTAATTTTTTATTTGTTAATATATTTAAATGAAATTCTGTATCTAGGCACCTCGAATAAAAGTGAAACTAATGCCAAATCAAAAAATTTGTTTTGCGCATGCGCAGTCGGTTTTCTTTTATTTGTTAAGGTATTTAAATGAAATGTTGTATTCAGGCACCTCAAATAAAAGTAAAACTAATTCCATTTCAGAAAATTTGTGTTACAAGCTCTGCTGATCAGGTGGGACAGAATCAACCCCTTGTGTATTGTAAAAATGATGTATGTGTGAAGATCTCGAGGATCGTTTGGTATTCAGTTGTATCGGATTTTTGAAATATAAGTTAGAGTTTAAATAAATATATTAATTGGACGAAAGCCCGTTGAGGGCCCTAGAACAAGAGAGGGACAATAATAGACAATAAATAAATAATTTTTATTTATCCACTACATCTCCGAGAGGGGCAAAATCAAACTGATCTGTTGTAGTTGTTTGTTTGTTGTAGTGTCTAAAAAAAGCCTATAAATAGCCTATAATTTTGTGATCTGAATTTTTCGTCTTCGAAGCAAATCTCACAAGTGGTCAGCTAGCTTCGTCTTTAGCCATCAGAGCCATAGTTTTTTTCTTTAAAGGATGCCGCCCGAAAATTTGTTCAAGTGTCCAAAAAGGGCCTATAATCAGCCTATAATTCTGATGTATTTCGTCCTTCATTTTTCTAAAATGGCTCTGCTGGCTTGTGGGACCTGAGTATTTTAATATTATAGTAAGTATAAAAATCGCAACTTTGACAAATTTAAACTACCTACCTAGCTCTTACAGTTTCCGAAATACCGCGTGGTGGCCCTAGAACTAGAATCGGCCTGGAAATTTTCTGTTTCAAAAATTTCCCCTAAAAAAATTAACATAAATTCCCCTTATGTGATGGTTTTGTGCATCCGTCTGTCTGTTACTCGTCTAATTCGAGAAAAAAGAGCGATGTCAAACCTTCGCCAATCGAGTTCTACAAGTTCAATGGTCGGTGACATTGAATATGAGCCGGATTAAATGTCGCGTTTCCTAATGCTAGCCGAGTGCAGAATCGCATACGATTTTTAATAGGAAAATTGTTTGCCACTCAGCTCGCATTCGTAAACCAGATCATATTCCATATTCCTTAAGACTCTTAGGGCATCTCAACACGCTAAGGAAAAATATGACCCCCCTCCCTCAACGCACTAGCTAGCTTCCTCAATTTTTGGGCTAGCAACTTAGTTTGATACCTCATGCCTGTACAAATTTCAGTCAGCTAGCACTTCTGGTTCCTGTACAGCCCTACACCAAAGTTGAGGTTACTTTTCTCTGGAACCGGAAGTCATATATAACTCCCGCCGCAGCAGTGCGCATCCATTAATTTAACGAACACCAACCACCGCTACAGAAAACCAAGAAATCGACCACCAAGAGCAAACGCCGTTAGGTGATCTAGAGATGAGAAGTTTATCTAATAAAAGGTAAATTCAAAATGGTTCCCTTGGCGGTTAAGTAGACTAAAATCTCGCCTAATAAGTAAAAATCCTGTTGTCGATCCACCTCTGCCGTTGTTTAGTCGCCTCTTACGACATGCAGTGCATCTGCAGTAGGGTTATTCTGTCCCGCCCCTACACGGGTAAATATCAAACGAACATAAAAAAACAGCAACATTTTTTTTCCAAAACCCCAAATAGCTTTTTCAAAATACCCATTAATTTTCTATAGCGAAATGTATTTGAGTATAGACTCAATAAGTGTTTCTATTGGGACTTGATAAACGGTACATAATATTATTGTCATAGTAACGACCGTGAAAGTGCGCGTGATTCTAAAGGTAAACAAGGATTTAAGATTATTCAAAATGTATTTAAATAACAAATTTATTTAAATACCAACTTATTGATAATGAGGGTGGGCAAAGAAAATTAAAAAAAAAACAACTTACAGCGGGATACTGACTTCAAATTACCAATTGGAAAAAATCATTGAACTTTGGCGGGTTAAAGTTGTACTCAATTGTGAAACATTTGAACACGATAAGTAAGGTATATACCAATTCTTTGGAATTACATACAAACAGGTTTGAAGTTATGCGTTCGAAATAAAAAATTTGTGATAAACATTATGTTAATTAAAAATAGTTGTTTATTTCCACTGGTGTAGTCAAGTCGAATTGCCACACCATTTTTACAATGGACGACTTGAAGGTAAGCGCTAAACCGAATGCTCCAATTTGCTAACGTTTATTGCAGTACATGAGCGGTTTTGGATCGGAATTCAAATCCGAAGATCCAAGATGTCCGCAGTCCTTGCCGAAGGGGCAGAACAGCCCGCAGAAATGTCCATATGGCTTGTACGCAGAACAGCTTTCCGGAACGGCGTTCACCGCGCCCAGATTAGAAAACAGGCGCTCCTGGTTTTATCGCATTCGCCCTTCGATCGGGCACGACCCCTTCAAACCCTTTTCCAATAGCAACGTGCGATGTAATTGGGACCAACAGGAGCCCGATCCTAATCAGGTACGATGGCCCGCTGCCCAGGCGATTAATAATTTGTTTGATGTTAAAGATGAGATGGATGCCCTTTGATCTGCCCAAATCAAATGAGAAGAGGGATTTCGTTGAAGGCTTGAACACAATCTGCGGTAGTGGAGAGATTAAGGGCAAAAATGGGTTGGCGATTCACGTTTACGTTTGCAACGTCTCCATGAACAACCGAGCATTTTACAATGCCGACGGCGACTTTTTAATTGGTAGATTTTTCACGCGTTTATTGTGTATGAAACGATTTGAACTTGCAGTGCCCCAGAAAGGAACGTTAAAAGTTACCACGGAATTTGGAAAGCTCCAAGTGAGGCCTAACGAGATTGTGGTAATTCAGCAGGGTATGCGATTCTCGATTGATATCGATGAACCATCGCGTGGGTACATCCTGGAGGTGTTCGGGAGACATTTCTGCCTACCCGACTTGGGCCCAATTGGTGCCAACGGTTTGGCCAACGCTCGCGATTTCTTAACCCCCGTCGCCTGGTACGAAGATCGCGACGTGCAGTATGAGATTATTGGAAAGTATCAGGGCAAACTGTTCGTCTGTAACCAAGACCATAGTCCTTTCGACGTAGTTGCTTGGTTTGGAAATTACGTACCGTATAAATACGACCTGGCAAACTTCATGGTGATTAACTCGGTCACGTTCGATCATTGTGTACGTATACTTTTGCGTTAGCTCACCATTTGCGGCAAAGACCTTTTAGGATCCGTCCATATTCACCCTGCTCACCTGTCAGTCGGAAATGAAGGGGACGGCAATTGCCGATTTCGTAATATTTCCACCGCGTTGGTCGGTTCAGGAGCATACATTCAGACCGCCCTACTACCATCGAAACTGCATGTCGGAATTTATGGGTTTGATTTTCGGCAATTACGAGGCAAAGGCCGAAGGGTTCCAGCCCGGAGGTGCCACTCTGCATAGCACCATGACTCCGCACGGCCCCGATGCGCAATGCTTCGAGATGGCCTTTAATGAAGAATTAAAACCAAAAAGAGTAGCTGAAGGGACTATGGTAAAAAAAATTGGGTATTTCTGAAACTTTTTGAGCAAGAGCTTTCTAGGCGTTTATGTTTGAAACTTGCATGGAGTTAGCCGTCACCGAGTGGGGTGCCAAAACGTGCCAAAAGTTGGATTTGGAGTACTACAAATGCTGGAAAAATATCAAGAAGCACTTTACCGGACCCGCCCATTGATTAAACACCTATATTGTTTATAATTGCCTACGTTTTATAATTTTTTATTACTTAATTGTTTGTTTATTCGCTATTATTAATTAATCCTGTTACTCTCAATTTAATAAAGTTAAAAAATTGCCACATAAAAGTCGTAGACATTTTTTTTCAAAAAATCGACTGCACCAAAACTTCTCGGGAAAACACCTTTTTTTATTAATTTTGGTGCGTAGAATTCAAAAGAATTCGTACTTTTTCGATCAGACTTCTCAATCAAAAGTTATGGACTAGAAACCAATTTCGAAAGAAAATTCAAAGGACTGTAACTTTTGAACTAGTAGCCCAATCTTGGAACTGTTTGAAATTATGGATTCTACAGGCGACGTTCTATAAGAAAAATTCTTTTCCGAGAATAATACGAACCAGAATTTTGTCAGATCGTGTAGGGGACCCTTTGAATATCCCATCACATGCAGATTTATAGCTCCCCTTCAAAGACGTTGCTAGAGCAAAATTTTTAAAATGGCCCTGTAGGCTCTGGATTTTTTAGATAATCACTTGTTTTCGCATTTTAAATTGTATCTTGTGTTTGCATATTATGTTTATAATTTGTAAAATGTATGGTGAAATTATAACACCCTGTAGGTCAGTAACGAAGCCTTTGCGGACCTATGTTTACATAAACTTTTGGTTATAAAATAAGTCAAAGAATTACCTCATATTTATTTATTTTTTATTTATTTATTTATTATCCCTCTCTTGTTCTGGGCCCTCAACAGGCTTGCGCCCAATTACAGAGTGACCCGCATAATGCTTTTTAGAGGTGCCTCTGCAGAAGGTCTTAAGTTGTCCTATACTACTCCGGTATATTTACCTTACGAATTAGGAAAACTGCAGGAAAACCTAATTCTGAGTAGCCGGCAGAATGCTCGAAACTGGTCTAAGGTAATTTCCATCTCTGCCACAGATGAAAAATTCACCTCAACCCAGGTTCGAACACCCGACCTCCGGATTTATAACTCAACGCTCTACCATTGAGCCATAATGCCGGTTGCTTTAGGAACACTCTGTAGAAACAAGACATTATACAGAGTGTCCACTATGTATGGAGCTAGGTACTATACCTACAGGCGACCCGCGTTATCTTAAGCACTAGACGAAAGCCTGTTGAGCAACAAATTCAATTGTAACCAATGGCGAAAGTAACAAAAACAATTGAATTTTTTTAATATCAATGTAAGTACTTTTTTATTACGCTCGTTTCGTTTGATAGAGATTTTTTTCTCTTTTCGATGACGAAACATGTTAGTACCCTTATACAAGACAATTTTTCAAAAAATTTAAAAACTCATTAAGTAATTACATCAGTAACATATTAATCTAGATATCCTACAAATAACAAATGAACGTGTACGTTTCTTATTAAATCTTGAAGACAAAACGAAACTATACAATGTTATCACGAAAAAGTTAAATCAAAAATAAGGATGATAATGTATAATACGTCATTGAATCGAATGAGCTTAATGAAAGGGTACATTGCTATTTAAAAAAATTCAATTGTTTTTCGTTACTCATTTCCCTGATATCTATATCACCATATATTTCAGAAATATTTCAGTAACATTGCAATCTTTCCCCAACCTTACATTTCATTTGAAATATTTCAGAAATATTACTTTGAAAGCTACAGGAATTATTTCACCTGCAACATTTTTGAAATATTGCATCAATATTTTTTTGAAATGTAATGTATTATTAATAAGGGGTAAATGCAGCTATTATTTAGTACTTATTGTACCAGTAATAAATATGGTCTAGGTGTGGTCTAGGTCTATTTAAATATTCCAGTATAAATTTTAAACGAAGCGGGTCTGCTTGTCGAATCCAGTGTTCGGTTGTTTACGTGTATATTTCGCGCCATTTCCGAAGATAGGGGGCTGACGCACCGACGCAGTAAGCACGCGAGATTGATGGTCTGTGAATGTGATTACGATGCAATTAAATGTGATTTAAGAAGTGTTGCGTTTTACGTTTTTCTGTAGGACTGTAGCTCACAATTACGCTGATCTCCGATAAGCAGGTAAGAAGTATTGTACATACATTTGTTTTTCTACTAAAATTACTTATCGCCGGAAAAAACAATTTGTTTTGAAAGTACGCATACCTAACCTCAACTTACCGCTTTCCTTTTTTCTAGCTTCTAAAATTGGTGAATTTGATTAGTTCTAAATTGTGATTCATTTTTTCAATAATTTGATTCCAGCTTATAAAGTTTATACATTTTTGTAGGTATATACTTTCATTAATTATTAGGGTAAGCGCAAGCCTTGCCGAAATGAACAAGAAAACAAAATTGAAAACCCATCTTGGTTTATCTTCTCGACACAGAAAGAGATTAATTAATAATGAAACCAATTCCGAGTTAAAACACACACAAATGTTTACGACCATTGAAAAAAAATCACCAGCATCGGAGGAAGTTCGAAGGCAAACAATTTATCAAGTTACCCAACCATCAACTTCATTTCAATCCTCTTGCAGTATTATTTACGACTCAGATCATGATATAAACATTGATAGAGAAACGTCACTAACTATGGATGTAGATTTAAATTTGCCAACAACAAATTATGACTCTGAATGTTTGTCCGATGAATCTTCTCCGAATTCTAGTGACATTGAAAATTTACCTGATAGCCGAGCTGATAGCCCACTATCAGCTGCCTCTATAAATAGTGTACAGGATCATTCAACAAATAGCATCAAGGAAGATTTAATTCAGTGGACATTGGAGTACAATATTCCACAAAATGCTTTAACTGCATTATTGAAAGTTGTTAACAAAAACTTCAAATGCAATTTGCCTAATGATGCCCGTACATTATTACAAACCCCTCGAAATAGTATCATTTCTAAGTTAGACAACGGACAATATATTCATTTTGGATTAGAAAATGCATTAAAAGGTATTGTTAAGGACATAGGAAATTTACAATGTATTGAACTTTTAATCAATGTTGATGGGTTACCTTTGTCTCGTTCATCTACTGCTTGTCTATGGCCGATCTTATGTTCTGATAATGTTACTAAAAAGGTGTCAATAGTAGGATTGTTTCATGGGTATGAAAAACCAAAAGATTCTAACCAATTTTTGAAACAGTTTGTGAAAGAAGCTGTAATGTATGTTACAAATGGGTTCTTTAATGAAGGGCGTAAATATGATGTTAAAATCGCAGGTCTAATATGTGATGCTCCTGCTAAATCGTTTGTTTTAAATACTAAAGGACATACCGGGTATAATAGTTGTACTAAATGTAAAGTGGAGGGTAATTATATAAACAATAGAGTATGTTTTCCTGCACCTTCTAATGTACCCTTGCGAAATGATAATGACTACTTTTGTGACACTGATGATGACTTTTATGTATCGAAAAGTGAGTTACTTAAAATTCCTGGTTTCCTTCCTGTTAGTGGAGTACCACTGGATTACATGCACCTGATTTGTTTGGGTGTAGTTAAAAAATTACTTTTGTTGTGGATTGAAAGTAAAGCTTCATCTGGTGTAAAGTTATCCTCACAAAGCATTAAAGAAATTTCTGAGAATATATTATTGTGTTGTAAATATGTCCCGTCAGATGTTGCCAGAAAACCTAGACCTCTGTCTGAGATTCGTCATTGGACAGCAACAGAATTAAGAAACTTTCTTTTATATATTGGGCCAGTTGTTTTAAAGTCCAAAGTAAATAATGATGTATATTTAAATTTTCTCACGTTACATGTAGCCGTTCGAATTCTTTGCAATTCTACAGCAATTGCTAATAAAGAAAATATTAAATATGCTGAACGTTTATTGGAACATTTTGTACAATCATTTGCGATAATTTATGGGAAAGATAAAATTTCTCATAATGTACATAACTTATTACACATTTGTGAGGATGTTAGAAATTTTGGATCCCTTGATGAGTTTAGTTCATTCAAATTCGAAAATTATATGTCAACCATTAAGAAATATATAAGAAAAAATGACAAACCGTTGCAGCAATTATGTAATCGGTATCATGAAATGGAGCGTTTGTACAAATCCTCCAATAAGTCAACTCAAAAATCGGTTACCCATAAAATTAACGATTGTGTCATTAACATTCACAAGTTCAAGGATCGTTGTGTACTTCTTGAAAATGGAGATATATTTCAAATAATTTTAATAGAAGGCAATAGAATCGCTGGATATCCACTGAGAAGCAATGGAAATTTGTACACAGCACCTTGTGCATCACAAAAATTAAACATTCATCAATTGTCTGACTTGAACTCCACCTATGTATCTCATCCATTAAGTAGCGTTAGAGCAAAAATATGGACACTACCTTACAAAAGAAATGAGTATGTTGGCATGCCGATACTGCATTCGCTTTTCTAGAAAATAAAAGAACATTTTTCATACATCATCGCCTTAATAAAAAATTGCCTGTCAATCAACTGTGTGACAACTCCTCCCACCCCACAACAACCCTCATTGCAAAATTTTCTAAAGGGAATCATAGTCGAGTGCCCCCTTGTTTGTAAGCTGTTTCAATTCTCTATCAACCATGTGATATTAAAAACTGCAATTTTTTAAATTATTAAATAATTAAATTATTATTAATTTTTTGACTTGTTAATGAGAAATATGCATTCTTTTGGTTAAAAATTGATAGTTCACGCAAATAAAAATATGGATAAACTACGTCAATTGTTTTAAGACGATATGGTATTGCTTTTTTAATTGTCTAGGTACCCGGTGATTACAATGAATTTCTCGGTGCTGGAATTTGACGATGGTACTGTAGAATTAGTTCCAAATAATTGGATCACAGGTGACTCCTGTTCGTGGCCACCCACATTAGATCGATCGTCGCTTAACAAATTGGTCCTATCCAAAACAACTCCAGAAAATAGTTGGAACATTTATGGTATTCAGAGAGTTTTTTGTGAAGCCTGTAAGTATTACTAGCTTGTTTATCTAATATTTTAATTGCACTATAACAGCTACATATGAAAGGGGAACTGTTAAACTAAAGCTGGCGATGGAAATGTCAGATATTGACACCGAAAGTGATACCTTAAAAAAATCGCGTCATTCTCGTCATTCGAAAATGCCTTCTTCCGAGTGTGATGGTGTGAACGTTAATAAGAAAAGACGTAGGACAACGATTCTACCTATTTCATCAGATTCCGAGCCTGGGTCTGATGAAGAACCTTCTACAGATCTACCTGCTTTGCCAGATACTCCCGAAGACTTTAATCTGTTGGAGGTACCAAAACACCCCAAAATTTCACGACATAAACAAACCTCGTCACAAACTTTATTTCGAAAAAGTAAGTTCTCACCAACTTTTCGTGGTATTATTTTAATAAAAGTAATTTGCAGGTACAAATACTGATGTCGTATCGCATTGCAGACTATCAAGATCTAATACCCCACTGTCCAATGTATCTCATAGTACTCTGTCTAAAGGTTAGTAAATTTTGCATTTAGAAGGGATCCTTGTTTACGTAATAATTTGTAGGTATAGATACTGATGACGTCGTATCGCATTGCAGACTATCAAGATCTAATACCCCACTGTCCAACGTATCTCATAGTACTCTGTCTAAAGGTGAGTAAATTTTGCATTTAGAAGGGATTCTTGTATACGTAATAATTTGTAGGTATAGAAACAGACATACAACACTGCACACCATCAAGATCTAATACTCCAACGTCCAATCTATCATATTTGTCAAGAGGTAACAAAATTTCGTATTACTCTAGGAATAATTATTTACGTGTGCTGTTTTCAGATGCTGAAGTTAAAATTATTACAAAATTGAATACATTGATTTCCATAACCTCCAGTATCGTTGACAGGCAAAATTTGTTAGAACAATCGCTTGGTGCACTTCAAGGCAATACATCAGATGTGCCAATGGCTCCAATTGGCTTAATGGAGTTTAATGACAAATTTCCCTTAACGACCGAAGATGACTTAGTTAGATTCGATGAAGACTTAAAAGATAAGGAGTTTTTTAATAAAATGGTACCTACCTACATGTGCCAATTTTGTATCAAATTTTAATATGACTTATTTATAGGTTACTACATTATGTAGTTTTGGTGGCACTGATGTCACAAATATAACTGTAAATATATTGCGAAAAGTAATTAGCAATAAGGTAGCTAATTCTTATTCTTTGTTGGGGAAGAAAAAGAAAAAGAAATTTAAAGAGTTAAATTTCTTTAACCTCATAATAGAGACGGTTCGCCGGCAAAAACCAGGGGCAACTGAGACCGAGATAGGGGGTGTCGTTGGAAGTTGGTTACCGCAATCAAACTTGCGGTTATCTAGGGAACTTAAGTAAGTATTATCATAGAGTAAATTTCTTAATGGTATACAATTAATCTAATGTAACTTTTCTAATTTGATTACAATATTAATTTTGTTTATCCAACCACTTACAATGACGTAATTAAGTTTACCTTAACCAGCCTGCTTCTTGTGAGATGTTTACATAATTCATACTGTGACCTCAACCTGAGTTTTATCTCCTGCATTAATCGATTATCTACTAAGCCTTTGACACTGCGATGTGTAAAACATTTAGTACAAAATTGACATTGATGTTTTTTTTTCAGAAAACAGAATCAAGATTAGTGAGCGACAGTATTTTTGAGATAAGTCGATGTGTTGTTAAATTTAGTTGAGCTTTCATTTGCATTATTTTGTACTACTATTACCTATGTTTTGAAAGGACATTTATTATATATCTACTTTAGGAAAATAAAATTTTGTTTATACTGCGTTGTGTTTTCCGCTGGTGGTGTTGAATTGAATGGAGTTATTACAGATTTCGTCACGCATTCGCTACTTTTGTTTAAAAAAAAACAATTTTTAACGGTCATTTTAACAATGGTTCTTTTAATACTCATTGTGGAGCAGAGCAAATGCAGGACCAAACTCGAAAGAATTCCAACTTTATATTGCTATAAACTTGAAATTGTAAATCCATCTACGTGGTATGTATGGAATTTTATGAAAGGAAAACGCCCAGTCTTCACCACATTAATTTAATAATTTAAATTATTAAATTAATGTGGTGAAGACTGGGTGTTTTCCTTTCGTAAAATTTATATTGCTATAACTCACATATTGTAGGAATATTTCTATTTTTGGTGTGGGAAATATAGCTTGACATATTTCGAAAATGAGTTTCAGAAATATTGCAGGATATATTTCATGAAAGGACATATTGGCATTTATAAATATTGCAGAAACATTTCAGTAATCTTGCGAAACATTTCAGAAATATTATCAAAGTTTCATAGATACATTTCTGCAACACGTCTGAAAGATCATCGTGATAGATCATCGTGTTGTATGGGCGGTATTGGTTAATAGAGTGAATGAGAACCGGTGCTCCACCTCCAAAAGAAGTTACATGTGACGCGTCGAAAGCGTTGTTATTGGCCGCGACGAGAGCGTTCACAAATCGCAATTCCCTCGACGAATATGCCGACAGGTGCTGGAGAGCATCTGATCTGCCCGTCTGCTATATCCGCATGGATGTAGCACACTTTATCAAGGTTTATGCGAACTTTTTGAAAGTAGCCATCAATCCTAAAATCAAAACATTTTACATGGCATCACTCGGGCAATTAATTCTTACGCGTACAATCCGCGATGCAGAAAATATTTTATTCGCCATGCTATTGATAGCTCGGAGCAAGACGGAAAGGTTTTCTCGAAAACGGACACCCATCACCGTGCGAAATACAGAAAAATATATTAAATGATCTCCTGCTAGATGATAATCCTGACAACAACCTACCTGAAGAAGTCGGAGATGACATCATTATTGGTGAACCTGAATTCGAGGATACAGAAAATATGAATAATGTTGAAGCATTATGTGTTTCACGGATGGCCGAGTCAAAAGCAGCAAGTGGACGATTTAGTTAAACATTATTTCAAGCTGCAACACGAAATAGCTGTTGAAGATGAGTGGGTGTTTTCAACCATAGACTAATTGTTCCAGTATCGTTGCGAGAGTAGGGGGAGACCGGGGTATAATGATCCCTCGGGGTAAAATGGTTCCTCCCATTTTAAAGGTTTCCACTAACACCATCTACCAACTTGACACATAATTACAAACTGATTTACAGGCGCATTGCCGGACAAATGTAATTTGTTAGTTCGAATAACGTACAACGAAGGGAAGCAGCCATTTTTGTTTTAGCAGTTGTTGATGTAAGGTAAGTGCAACTTTAAAATGTGTACATAACGTAGGGGAAGCATTTTTTAAAACGTGCGTCTGGTTATTTGCTCAACCCTGGGATTAAGTTTGTAATTAGTATGTTAGCGTAGCGAAAATTTGATTTCGTAAAATTTCTAGGTGATGGTCTTTACTAAATTGGCTTGTGGGGTAAAACGATCACCAAGAAATGGGCAAAATGATCCCGGGATCATCTCGCCCCATGTAGTTAAATTATTTTTGGGGAAACAACTATACTTACCTAGGTCATTTTATTTCAGAATGCCTCGCACTTATCACCGCAAAAGTAATCGCCAAAATTGGAATGCAGAACACATGGACACTGCATTACAAGAAGTATTACATAATGGGATGCCCTTTAAAACCGCAGCACGAATATTTGGGGTCCCTTTGATGTCTCTGAAGCGTAGAGCTAAGAACAAGAATGTGATTGCGAAGGATTCTATTAAACACCTTGGCGGCAAGACTACAACGTTTACAAATGATCAAGAAAACGAGCTGATACGTCACATTCTTGATTTAGAAAGCAGGATGTATGGTCTGACTACAACAGATTTGCGGCGTTTGGCATTTCAACTTGCAGAAAAAAATCATATCCCTCACCACTTTTCGCGCGAAAAGCAGATAGCAGGATACGATTGGCTAGCTGGATTTACAAAAAGACATCCTGAGATTGCCTTGAGAAATCCAGAAGCAACCTCTGCAGCTCGGGCAAGAGGTTTCAATAAGCAAGTTGTAACGAAATTTTTCGAATTGTTGAAGAATATTATTGAAAAACACAATTTCCCTCCTCACAAGATTTATAACGTCGATGAGACATCGGTATCAACTGTCCCCGGAAAAAATTCAAAAATTTTCGCAAAAAGGGGTCGAAAACAAGTAGCTCGTGTTACGTCTGCTGAGAGAGGAGTATCGGCAACTGCAGTAATTTGTACTTCGGCAGGGGGAGTTTTCGTGCCTCCCATGTTTATTTTTAGTAGAAAACGTATGAAATTAGAGTTAATGGACGGCACTCCGCCAGGCAGTATATTTGGATGCAACGAGAGTGGCTGGATGAAGCTTGACATGTTTGAACGGTGGTTTGATCACTTTTTAAATTTCACCAAACCTTCAAAAGAGGAGCCTGTGCTTTTGATCTTAGACGGGCATTTGTCCCACACCAAAAACTTAAATGTGGTAACAAAGGCAAGGGAAAATAGTGTTTGTATTTTATGCCTACCACCACATACAACGCACAAACTCCAACCGTTGGATGTTGGGGTAATGTACCCGTTAAGTCGATATATGGATCAGTCTTTAGAGAAGTGGATGAACAACAACCCAGGTCGAACAGTAACAGTGTTCCAAATAGGAAAAATTTTTTCAGAAGCATATCTGAAAGCTGCAATGCCCAGTAATGCAATTAATGCTTTCAAGAAGACAGGAATAGTGCCCTACGACCCCGATGTTTTTATAGATGCGGATTTCGTTGCTGCAGATGTTACTGATCAACGCTACGATGAAGTTGCTGAAAGAAGTTCTCCTAGTTCTGTTCTAAATGAGGTGCCACATAACTCTCCTGCCAGAGAAACAGTAAACCACGGTGACTCGTTGGAAAAATCGCCTCTTCCAGGTCCAAGTAACCAATTAGATTCCCCTATTCCAGATGAGGTCAGAGAAAGTTCATTCATTATGGCACCAACGGTCTGTCATCCACTCCCTAAAATAAAAGGAAAGCGACAAGTTCGCCAAAGAAAATCAGTAGGTACGGTGTTGCTTACAAGCACGCCCTATAAAAGTATGCTTGAGGAAGAAAAACTGAAGAAAGATGAGGCAGAAGAAAAGAAAAAACAAAATAAAAAACCAAAGCTGGCTAACAAAGAAAATTTTAATCCCAAACAACGGACAAAGAAGAAAGAAAAGGTCAATGAAATAAGTAGCGACAGTGATGCATCCGATGCTGAATGCATTTTTTGTTGTGAAACCTACACCAATGCCAAGGATGGAGAAGGATGGATTAAGTGCAGCAAATGTTTAAGATGGGCCCACGATGCATGTGCAGGGGTGGAAGAGGACGAAGACCATTTCACGTGTGATTTATGCCAATCATGTACAAGTGTCAAGTACAAAAGGCAGTTATTTTAATTACGTTTACGTTTTTCCTTTTAAATACTTTACAGAATTTCATGTTTTTTTTGTTTTACTTAATGTAGTTGTGTTACTTTGTTTAAAAAATAAATAAATATATATATATAGAGGGGGGATCATTTTTACCCATGAACGGGATCATTTGACCTCACACTATTGGGTAATATGATCCTTTTATAGACTTTCAAAAAAATTAGTAAATTCCAAAAATGATTTTCGGGTGAACTAAAAATGATGCTTATTATAATCGCCCTAAGTATTGTCAATAACTCTTATGGGGAACAACATTTGTTATTCACTTAGATGCCGACCTATTGAAATTTTAAGCTTAGGGGGATCATTATACCCCGGTCTCCCCTACATATTAAAATTACTACACGAGTCACATTGGAATAGAGAAGACGAAACAAAGAGCAAGGCAAACACTCTATTGGCCTGGACCTTCAGCAGATATCGAAGATATGATATCCAAATGTAGTACCTGTGAGAAGTATCAATGTCGTAAAAGAAGTGAACCACTTATACCCCATAACATTCCTCAAATACCATTTTACAAAATTGCATGTGACATTCTAGAGTGCTATGGTGAGAGTTACCTAATAATTCAGGACTATTATTCCAAATGGCTAGAAATCATCCATCTTGAAAACAAAACATCTGAGAATGTTATTAAACAGTTCAAAAATTGTTTTGCCACTCATGGGATTCCGAAGATTGTAGTAAGTGACAATATGCCATTCAATTCTTTCACATGCAGACAATTTGCTGAAATGTGGAATTTTGAATTCAAGACATCGTCTCCTAGGTATCCTCAGAGCAACGGGCAAGCTGAACGAGCAGTTCAAACAGCAAAAAGAATTATTAAAAAATGCATCGACGATGAAAAGGATATTGAAATAGCGCTCCTTGAATATAGGAACACCCCTATTTCAGGGTTAAACGTTTCACCGGCCCAGATAATTTTCAGTCGTAGACTAAGAACAAAAATACCAGTTCACACATCATTGCTTAAACCAAAAATTGTTGAAGGTGCTCATAAAAAATTAGTGAAAAAGCAAGAAGTTTATAAACAATACTATGATAAGAAATCTAACTTTCAACCAGAATTTCAAAGTGTAAAGTATTAAGGCATAAGTTATGGGAGCCAGCACAAGTGATCGACAGACATGTTTCCCCAAGATCATACATAGTCAGGAACCAATCAGAACAAGAGTTAAGAAGAAATTCAAGTCACCTCAGACGATCCAGTAATAACTTTGAATTAAAACCAAATTGTGACGATAACATAATAGAAAGTGCCACTAATAATGCAGAGACAAATATTCCTAATAAGTGTGACCACACACGCGAGTGGCAATACACCCACAACTACACGTACCGGTCGCACTATTAAATTTCCAA